GGGAGGGCTTTCCACAGGGTGGGTGCCACCACCAAGAAGGCCCTCTGGCTGGTTCCCTGTAGCTTTGCTTCTCGCAGTGAGGGAACTGCCAGAAGGCCCTCGGAGCTGGACCTCAGCGTCTGGGCAGAACGATGGGGGTGGAGACGCTCCTTCAGATATACTGGACTGAGGCCATTTAGGGCTTTGAAGGTCAGCACCAACACTTTGAATTGTGCTCGGAAACGTACTGGGAGCCAATGTAGGTCTTTCAAGACCGGGGTTATGTGGTCTTGGCGGTCACTCCCAGTCACCAGTCTAGCTACCGCATTCTGGATTAGTTGTAGTCTCCGGGTCACCTTCAAAGGTAGCCCCACATAGAGCGCATTGCAGGAGTCCAAGCAGGAGATAACTAGAGCATGCACCACTCTAGCAAGACAGTCCGTGGGCAGGTAGGGTCTCAGCCTGCGTACCAGATGGAGCTGGCAGACAGCTGCCCTGGATATCAATAGGCAGCGAGTTCCACAGTTCCCGGGTTGTTGCGTGGATTACTGGAATAATGTATGCGAACTGCTTCAAGGACTTGAAAAGGGCTGGAATAAATTGCTATGGGATGAGATACTCAAGGCAGCTCCTTTGTGACTCACAGCAGCTTTTGCAAGAGATAAGTGTGTCACATCAGAGATTATACCCATGACTGTGACTGAGATCTGGGTCCTTCCTGCTCATGAGGTGACCCTGCCGTTATTGAGCAGGACACACCTAGCAATGAAGAAAGCAGCTGATATGAATTCCAGCTCTTGATTTTCTGTATGCTTTCAACAATATTTAATCATTGCACTTATATATCCCAATTCCCCCCCCCCCTCCTGTGAGGCAGATTAGACTGAGAGACAGTGACCAGCCCAATTCATGACTGAGTGGGAATTTGAACCCAGATCCTAAACTGAAACTCCTAACAGCTGCACCAAGGGAGGGGAAACTGTGGCCCTTTTAGATGCTGTTGCACTACAACTCCCATCAGCCCCAGCTAGCATGGCCAGCGCTCAGGGATGATGGGAGTTGGAGTCATTATATTCATTGGGACTAAAAGAAACTCATTTTTGGAGCTCACACGTATCCCAGGCATATTTACTCAGAAGTAAGTCCTACTATGCCCAATAGGGCTTTCTTCCAGGTAAGTGTACACAAGAGTGCAGCCTGAGCTTTGAGACGCAGACTTGCTCTAGGGCATGGGTAGGCAAACTAAGGCCCGGGGGCTGGATCCGGCCCAATTGCCTTCTAAATCTGACCCGCGGACGGTCCAGGAATCAGCGTGTTTTTACATGAGTAGAATGTGTGCTTTTATTTAAAATGCATCTCTGGGTTATTTGTGGGGCATAGGAATTTGTTCATTTCCCCCCCAAAAATATAGTCCGGCCCCCTCACAAGGTCTGAGGGACTGTGGACCGGCCCCCTGCTGAAAAAGTCTGCTGACCCCTGCTAGGGGGTTGATAGTGAATTGCCACCACCTGGCCTGTGGAACTACTTGCTTCCCACCTGGGGCAGACCAACACTCATTGTTTATAACGTTAAAAATGCGTTATTAAAATGCTACACCAGAGAGCACTGTAGAGCAGCGAGCCACTGCCAATGGAAAATAGTTATTCAGCATTGTAGAAACATTTAGCAGATCATTGTAGATGCAGCCCTGGTCTACGTGCAATCCGGTTAATATTAGGAAAACATTGCAAGTTTCGGGTGTAAAAGGCTGCTCCTTGTACACAGTGGAGCAAATTCAGTGGATGAGATGGAAGGTTCAGACTGATTAAATTTCTGACCTGCCCTTCCATGGGAGCCCAGGGTGGCAAAGAATGTATTTAGACTAGCCATACTAGGCTAGGAACAACTTTCTCATGGTATGAGTTGATCAACAGTGGGGAAAAGGCTACTTTCTATGGAAGGTGATGGACTCTCCTTGGTTAGAAGATTTTAAGCTGAGTACCTATCAAGGATGGTGTAGCGATGGATTTAATAATAATAATAATAATAATAATTTATTTGTCTCCTGCCCTCCCCGGCCAAAGCTGGGCTCAGAGCGGCTAACAACAGGTAAAAATAGCACAGTGTGCATAAAAATCGCATAGTCAATTAATTAAAATACATTCTAGAATATTCTAGAATGTAGAATGAATTTCCTGTATTGGTGGTGGGGGGGGGTTGGGCTAGATGACCACTGAGGTCCCCTCAGATTCTTTGAAAGCGGGGGAGGGCGGGTTCAAGAGAAGGCCTCTGTCGCCCTCTTTTGAATTTTAAGAGATTTCGGAAACAGTTTATGAAAAAAAATTCCACTGAAGTCAGCCGAATGCCTCCAGGTGATACCAGAATTACTCCCTCTCAGCTTGTGGGTCGAGATCTGGGTGTCCCATTCCTCAGTGGGGAGTGAAACTGTGGCATGAATACATATTTCACACCCTTTCTTGAAATGCTTTTGTGCATAACTGCGGCTGGGTGGTGGATGCCTCATGACTCATCGCTTGGCATTCAAAACTGTTTTGAATGCTTGCGGAGCTAAGGTTAACAAAAACAACCATCATAATAAAACGGTGATTTCCCCCCCACCTCTAGCAGTCCTCCTGGTATTCTGGAATCCAAAGCGATGCAGGAAACCACTGGACCTCATTGCAGCACAGGCACGCAAGGCATAGAAAGGGCTAGTTGAGTCTATACGACATGAGGCTCTTCATCTGAGGGTTGTGGGTTCGAGTCCCACCTGCGGCAAAAGATTCCTGCATTGCAGGGGGTTGGGATGGATGACCCTTGGGGTCCCTTCCAGCTCTAAGATTCCATTCAATCAGGCTTCCTCAACCTCGGCCCTCCAGATGTTTTGAGACTACAGTTCCCATCATCCCTGACCACTGGTCCTGCTAGCTAGGGATCATGGGAGTTGTAGGCCAAAAAATATCTGGAGGGCCAAAGTTGAGGAAGTCTGTGTTAAATGCTCTTCTAGCTAGGCTTGGGGTTACAGGGGGGAATGAGAAACTCAGCGAGGTTTAGCCATGTCCTACATCTGAAATGTGGAGGATTTCAGATGAATGGGTAAATCGTCTAATGAGTTCCACATGGTTCTTCTTCTAGGTGTGGCAAAGCACATGAGCTGGCTCCTTAGCCTTGGAACACTTTGAGCCAAAATCAAGCAAGTGTTTTCTGTGTGCAGGGCTGCTGTCTACCAGCTCCATCTGGTACGCAGGCTAAGACCCTACCTGCCCGCAGACTGTCTGGCCAGAGTGGTGCATGCTCTGGTTGGACTACTGCCATGCGCTCTACGTGGGGCTACCTTTGAAAGTGTCCCGGAAACTGCAACTAATCCTGAATGCGGCAGCTAGACTGGTGACTGGGAGCGGCCGCCGAGACCACATAACACCGGTCCTGAAATACCTTCATTGGCTCCCAGGACGTTTCCGAGAACAATTCAAAGTGTTGGTGCTGACCCTTAAAGCCCTAACAGCCTCGGTCCTGTATACCTGAAGGAGCGTCTCCACCCCCAGCGTTCAGCCTGGACACTGAGATCCAGCACCAAGGGCCTTTTGGAGGTTTCCTCATTGCGAGAAGTGAGGTTACAGGGAACCAGACAGAGGGCCTTCTCGGTGGTGGCGCCCGCCCTGTGGAACGCCCTCCCATCAGATGTCAAGGAAATAAACAACTATCTGACTTTTACAAGACATCTGAAGGCAGCCCTGTTTAGGGAAGTTTTTAATGTTTGATGTTTTATTCTGTTGGGAGCTGCCCAGAGTGGCTGGGGAAGCCCAACCGGATGGGCGGGGTATGAATAATAAATTATTATTATAAATTATTACAGTGGACCCTCTGCATACGAATATAATTCCTTCCATGGGTCCGTACGTACCCCAAAAATTGGCAAGTAGAAGTGCCGCTTCTGCACATGTGCATGGCGTCATAGAGCGATTCTGCACATGTGCGCGTGGCGAAATCTGGAAGAATACACTTCCGGGTTTGCCACGTTCACACCTGAAAGTTACGTTACCCGAAGGTAACATTAACCCGAGGGTCCACTGTGTTATCATTTAATTCTGTTGAAAAGATTTACGCTCAACTCTTACCCATTGTGCCTGCTTGACTGCTTTGGTGGGATTGGCAATACTACCGCTGCCCCGTAACACCCATTCCACATTTGTAAGAACTTGACCATTTAGTGTAGCAGAACCTACACTTTGGAACTCCCTGCCTCTTGATACCAAGCACTGTATTCTTTTTGGAGCCTGCTAAAACTATTTTTATGGAAGTGAGAGCTGGACCATAAAGAAGGCTGATCACCGAAGAATGGATGCTTTTGAATTCTGGTGCTGGAGGAGACTCTTGAGAGTCCCATGGACTGCAAGAAGATCAAACATGTCCATTCTGAAGGAAATCAGCCCTGAGTGCTCACTGGAAGGACAGATCCTGAAGCTGAGGCTCCAACACTTTGGCCACCTCATGAGAAAAGACTCCCTGGAAAAGACCCTGATGTTGGGAAAGATGGAGGGCAGAAGGAGAAGGGGACGACGGAGGACGAGATGGTTGGACAGTGTTCTCGAAGCTACAAACATGAGTCTGACCAAAAGACTAATAAAAATGACACCAACCATCCGTCCATAATATACCTGGACCCATGCTCTGACTATGTGCTCCTCGAACAAGTGCCTTTTTTTCTCTGTCATAAATCTCCCAACGTGCAGCTCCCCTGAATGTCTACAAGCTCAAGCCTTAGGACAGAAGGAGGGGAAACACTTTTCCCTCTACACTTTCTCCCTGCCAGGCAGATATTTGCAACCTTCCCCCGGTCTCCTCTCTCTCCCCTTTTCTCTAGAGGGAAAAAGTCCGCGCCGCCGCCTCTTTTCCTCGTAGGGGAGTCGCAGGCATCCTGGACGGGGCGGGATGTCGAGGGGAACCCCGGCTGGGTGGGTGGGGAGCAGCCCTAGGGTGGGTGGCCCCCATGGCGGCCAGGCTGCAGAAAAAGGCGGTGCAAGGTCGTGGGCGATGGGGAGGGGCATTTGGGGGGCGGTCCCGGGACGGGATATGAGACGCCTGGCCGGCCCCGCCCGAGCCCGTCTCGGCTGCTGCTTTCCCCCTGCTCAGTCCGAGGCTTCGACGGGATCCTGCCAGGTAAGAAGGGCGTCGAGGAGCGGGCCCAGGAGATTTTGGGGGCGCTGGGGGGGTTGGCCGACCTTCCACACCCCACCCCGAGAATGGTGCCACTTTTGGGGTTCCTTTCTCCAGCCCACCACCCAGCTGTCGGTGTTGAGAGACGGTTCCAAAAAGGGGAACCGTCTGAATTTTGTTTTTGGAGGATGGGGGTCTCTGGTCCAGGAGGGTGGGATTTGCCAGCTCCAAACCCCCGCCGTCTGCGATGACCTCCCGGCGGCGGAGATTTGAGGGGTCCTCCTCCTGCCCCCGGTTTGGGCATCTGCGCCCTCGAGGGGCGTGGAGGAGTTGGCTAAAGAGACCCCCGCCAAGAGCGCATCTGGCTCAGAGCTGACTTCTCCGAAGCTTGCAGAAGCCGTCCAGGGTCAGCCGAGCCCAAACCAAAAAGGAGCCGTAGAGAAAAAGAGCCTTTGACGTCTCCTCTGCCCCCTCCCCAGCCCCTGTCAACGTCTGAATATGTGGGTTTGTCAAACTGAATCCGTAGCCTATTTCACAGCATGGAGCTCTGCCACCCTGCGAGGGTGATTCATCCCCGTCAGATATTAAATCCACACGCATGGATCTTGCAAGTTACATAAGGAGAGGCTGCAGGATCAGGCCCATAGCCCATCCATGCTCTAACCCAACTCCCTAGAGACTGCGATCTACTCACAGAGTTTAAACTGGCAGTGATCTACCCCCTTTTTTGGGGACTTCGGGTCAAAGTTGTTGAGTTTTTTCAGGGAGGAGATAAAATGTTGAGCTATTTTTAGGGGAGCCACAGTTGTTCAGTTTCTTTGGGGGGAGCCAATGATCTACCAGTGATCTACCGCAGACGTCCAGTGATCTAGTGGTAGATCATGATCTACCTGTTGGACATGCCTGCTCTAACCAGCTGAGCTATCCATGGATTAGACAAACGAGCAGGGGACAAAATGTTGGTTCTGCTCCGCCTGCGGATTTGGAGACAGCCATGCTTCGGAGGTGCTTCGGATTGGACCTGCGACCCTCTGAATGCCCAGCCTGTGCTCTAGCCACTGGCACTGCGGCGCCAGTCCCCAAAGCTGTGGGGTGCACCATCAGGTTGCCCTTTCACATCCCGCTACAGCTGGCCAGCAGTGGGTCGGACTCTGTGTCTCCTGCAGAGGCAGGGCAGGATGTTAGGCACAGCAAGGAGAGTGGAAGCCCAGAATGCAGAATTGTAAAGTAATGGTTGTTTTGTGCTCAAATCTACGCGGAATGGGGTTGGTGTGTAGGAGAAAAAAAGGACAGATTTAGGAGTGGTGCAGAAATATTGAACTGTGACTCTGGATTTGGCTTTTTGCACAAGTTGGCAAGCAGCCAAGCAGCGAAAAGGCTTCTGCAATCATGCAGAATATTTTAATCCTGCCTGCAACAGCCTCTTCTGTCTCTTTCAGAAGTTGCTGTTTAAGTAAGGTAAAAGGTAAAGGTAAAGGACTCCTGGACGGTTAAGTCCAGTCAAAGGCGACTATGGGGTTGTGGCGCTCATCTCGCTTTCAGGCCGAGGGAGACAGCGTTTATCCGCAGACATGTGGCCAGCATGACTAAGCCACTCCTGGCGCAATAGAACATGGTTACAGAAACCTAGTTGCTGTTTACCTTCAGTTAGGTCACATCTGCACCGATAGCTTATAGGTAGCAAACGTTTGCTTTTTCTGCATCCAGTAGAAATCCATAGCACCGATACTGAGAACCAGCTGGGTGCGGTGACTGTGCTGTAATTGATAATCGCAGTTCATATCCTGTGTTTATGTCCAAGATCCAAAATGGCTTACAATCCAGATTCCTGTTTAGTAACACTTGCAGAGAGTCTTCCGTCTGTATGGGCGGAGGCAGTGATACTTCTGCAAGTCAGTTGCGTGAGACCACGGGAGGGCACGGTTTCCCCCTCCCATTGAACCCTTGGCTTGGCCACTGTGGGAACTGGATGCTAGACTTGGTGGCCCACTGGCCTGATCCAAGAGGCTCCTCTTAGGGCGCAACTATCATAGAACAAAGGGACGTGGGTGGCGCTGTGGGTTAAACCACAGAGCCTAGGACTTGCCTATCAGAAGGTCGGCGGTTCGAATCCCCGCGACGGGGTGAGCTCCTGTTGCTTGGTCCCAGCTCCTGCCAACCTAGCAGATTCAAAGCATGTCAAAAGTGCAAGTAGATAAATAGGTACCACTCCGGCGGGAAGGTAAATGGCGTTTCCGTGCGCTGCTCTGGTTCACCAGAAGCGGCTCAGCCATGCTGGCCACATGACCCGGAAGCTGTACGCCGGCTCCCTTGGCCGATAAAGCGAGATGAGCGCCGCAACCCCAGAGTCGGCCACAACTGGACCTAATGGTCAGGGGTCCCTTTACCTATACCTGTAATAGAACAACAAAACAACAACAACACCACAAACTGGCTTATAAGTATAAAACCAAATTTACTAGAATAATAGCTAGAATAGAGGTAGACTTGTAAACATTTAAGCAACAAACATACTAAGGTGCCATGTGCAAAACAAAGCCTGGAGATACTGTAAACATGGAGTGGATAAATGTACAACTCTATCTTAACAAGTGACATGTGCAGTAAATGTTATACAGACTGGATAAATGAACCGTTCAACAAGTAGCGTAAGTCCAGTCACAGAACGGCAACCCTGTGCCGCTACAAGGGAAGGGTAGTGCACTGGAGAATATGAAAAAGTTTTTCAAAGCTGTTTTCCAAAGATTGAACTGGATGAGATGTTCTTCAATGGGTCTTGAGTTGGAAACACAAAGCCGTATGCATGGATCAATCACGGAAAGGCAAATCAAAGCCACCACCCTGGTGAGAATAACGCAAGTGGGCAAAAGGAGACCTGTTCTTCGGATATATTACAGGTTTCGCTACACGCTTCATCAGTCCGAAAAGCCAGTCATACAAAACGGTTTGCTCAGGATAAAGAAAGTATTCCAGCTATCATAGAAACAACAGCAGCAAAGGGAGGAACTGCCTCTGGCCATTTCAAATCCCATTCATCAGCTCCGCCTACCTTTCAGGGTTGTTGTAACGATAAGGTGGCGCTTGCTACATCCAAGCATTGATGCTCACCGCATCCAAATATGCCACCCTCAGCAAAATGGGAAGAAATGGCACGATGTGCCTAGGACCCTCGTACCTATGGGACCGCCTCTCCTGGTCTGCCCCGCAGAGGACCTTAAGGTCCATGAATAAGAATAGCTTAAAGGTCCCAGGCCCTAAGGAAGCCAGACTATCCTCCCCCAGGGCCAGGGCCTTCTCAGTGATGGCTCCGACCTGGTGGAACGCTCTGTCCCACAAGACTAGGGCCCTGCAGGACTTGATCTCCTTCCGCAGGGCCTGTAAGACAGAGCTGTTCCGCCTGGCCTTCAATTTTAATTAGCCTGATCCTCTGTTCCCTTTTCCCTCTCCTCTTCTGTGAAGAAACCCTTTCTGGGACCTCACATTTAAATTCTTCCCTGGTCTCCTTGCTGGCCCTAGTAGGACCAACTTGGCCAGTTAGCCCTGGTGATCATTTGATGTCTACTGACTGGGTCCCCCCACCCCCAATGACCCCTGAATTTTAGAATTTTATTGATATTGATGCTGCATTTTCTGTTGTGTTTTATGCTGTTTTTAAGTCGCATTTTCATCAATGTTTTATATTTGCTGTTAGCCGCCCTGAGCCCAGTTTTTAAATGGGGATGGGCGGGGTATAAATAAAAAATTATTATTATTATTATTATTATTATTATTATTATGCATTTTTATGTTGCTAACTGCCCTGAGGACTTCAGATGAAGGGTGGTAGACAAATTTAATAAATAAAATAAAGGTTGGTAATAACAATATAGTAGTGTTCATGGCTGACCCCAGCTTGTGAGTGCATTTTATTTTGCAGATAAATGCAGTGCTTTTTTCCTGGGGGGACGCAGGGGTACGCATACCCCCTAAACATTTTGTGAATCTTAAGTTTGGCCTCATTGAGGGGCAGTATTTCAATATGAGTAGGAAAATGAGAGTACCCCTAAACATTTTCTTTAGGGGGAAAAAGCACTGGATAAATGTATTGGATTGTATTGTATTTTGCAGAATGCTTAGACAGCTAAATGTGAAGATATCTAAGCAGTGTATCAGAGCAGAGGGTTAAAAAAAAGAAGTTAACGGAAACTTTTGTGCGATTTGATTCTGGAGAGACTTCCTGGTTTACAGAGCTGCTCTGCTCCCCCCACCCCCCGTGACTCCCAGCTTTTTGTGCGGTGGCTTTTTCATTTGCCACAATGTCCACATCCCTCCTTTTGAAATGACAGCCGTGTGAGAATAGAAGGCCCCTTTTTCTGTTTCCCCTTGCTTGGACATGGGCGAGGCTCTGTAATCCCTTGGGCATTATTTCTGCATTGTAGATCTGAACCCTGCCCAGCGCTGATACTCAGCACCGCCTGTAGCCCTTGACCATCCAGGGTGCTCCCAGCTGAGGAGGAGCCCATACCTATGGGGCAGGGTGGCTGCTTTGGGTGAAGAAGGACCCAGGTTGAGTCCCCAATGGCCTCTCTGTTTCTTTCTTTCTTCTTTGGTGATCACTCTTAGCTGAGTAAGATTGTCTTCCATAAACAATGAGTCCATAAGGGACTGTGGAGGCCAATTCTGGACCCACACGTCCTTCCACAGTGGGGACATAGGTTTCCGGGGGGAGCTGATCACGGTGTGGATTTGCCAAGCGTGCCTTCCTCTTAGCACGTTTCTCCCTTGCGTCCTGAGTTCAAGTGTCTTCAAAGCCCATGACACCTTTGGTCAAGGCCGTTCTCCAGCTGGAGCGCTCGCAGGCCAGTGTTTCCCAGTTGTTGGTGTTTATACTACATCTTTTTAGATTTGCCTTGAGAGAGTCTTTGAACCTCTTTTGTTGACCACCAGCATTACACTTACCATTTTTAAGTTTGGAATAGAGTACAGTGGTACCTCAGGTTACAGACGCTTCAGGTTACATAAACTTCAGGTTACAGACTCTGCTAACCCAGAAATAGTACCTCGGGTTAAGAACTTTGCTTCAGGATGAGAACAGATATCACGCGACGGCAGTGGGAGGCCCCATTAGCTAAAGTGGTGTTTCAGGTTAAGAACAGTTTCAGGTTAAGAACGGACCTCCAGGACGAATTAAGTTCTTAACCCGAGGTACCACTGTAGTTGCTTTGGAAGACGATAATCAGGCATCTGCACAACATGACCAGTCCAACGAAGTTGAAGAATCATCACTTCAACATGGGTGATCTTTGATTCTTCCAGTACACAGTAGCGGGTGACAGACGAGACCCTTGAGAGCTGCTGTAAGTCAGAGTAAGCAACGCTGGGAGAGATGGGCCACTGAACGTGACTCAACAGAATATGGCTTCATCCATTCAGCTCTGGTCTGAACTGACACACTCCTAATGTAGCAACTGCTTTTCCAGGTTAGAACAAAGATCCGTCTCGACACATCTTGTTCAAAGCAGAAAAATACATAACATAGTAACAAATGAAAACAATTACCCACACACCCCAGTTTAATAGGCCTGTGAGGAAAGGAATGTCTTTGCCTGGCGCCTAAAGACATGTAACAAAGGCACCAGGTGAGCCACCCTGGGGAGAACATTCCACAAACGGGGAGCCACTGCAGAAAAGGCCCCGCTCTCAAGTTGCCACCCTCTGGACCTCTCATGGAGGACGGCACACAAAGAAGGGCCTCAAATGATGCTCTCTCTGGGGTCACTTTAGAGACGCAGTTCTTGAGGTTTTGCGGTCCTGAGCCATTTATAGGTCGGGTCAGATTCTGAGTCATATGAGCATATGTCCCAGTGAGCAACCTGGCCACTTAATTCTGTACCAGCTGAAGTTTCTGAACAATCTTCAGAGGCAGCCCCATGTATGATGTGTTGCAGTAATCTATCCTAGAGGTTACCAGAGCATAGAGGAAAGAAGTTAGGCTGTCCCTGTCCAGATGGGGGCACAGCTGGGCCACCAGCCGAAGCTGATGGATGGCGCTCAGCGCTGACAAGGCTTCGTGAGCAGTGCTGGATTTACGCATAAACTAAACAAGCTATAGCTTAGGGCCCCACTCTCTTGGGGGCCCAAAAAATTTTGAAGGAAAAACACCTGGATGTACATTTCCAAAATATAAGATAAAAAACAAATAAAATAAAACCTATGTACAGCAACAGTGTTTTGTGTTGTGTATGCTCCTATCATGTAAGGCATGGGTAGGCAAACTCAGGCCCGGGGGCTGGATCTGGCCCAATCACCTTCTAAATCCGGCCTGCGGACGGTCTGGGAATCAGCGTGTTTTTACATGAGCAGAATGTGTCCTTTTATTGAAAATGCATCTCTGGGTTATTTGTGGGGCCTGCCTGGTGTTTTTACATGAGTAGAATGTGTGCTTTTATTCAAAATGCCTCTCTGGATTATTTGTGGGGCATAGGAATTCGTTCATTTTATTTTTTTCCAAAATATAGTCCAGCCCCCCACAAGGTCTGAGGCACAGTGGACTGGCCCCCTGCTGAAAAAGTTTGCTGACCCCTGATGTAAGGTAATGGGCCCCGCCTGCTAGCCTGCTCCCTAAGGACAAAGGACAGCTGGACATAGAAAGGGCCCCATTACCTTCAGTAGTTTAGGGTCTCATCAAACTTAAATCCGGCCCTGTGCATCAGCCTCAAGCGAAATGGAGGCTCTGTTTTATTTATTTAATTCTAGTTTTCCTCTCCCAGTTTTCTAGCATGGGGCAGATTTTCAAAGCAGTGAAAGACATAAGGAAAGCATTAAGAACAGGCAGCAATAACAGCGAGATAGTCATGCAGAAACAAAACCATGCAACCCTTTTGATCTCGGCTGCCTGAAATTGTGTTGAAGGCAAGGGAGTTAATTGCCTGTTTCGTGCTTCAGAGGCCCAAAGAGAATGGGATTCTGTTGTCTAAATAGTTGGTGTTCCAAGAGGGCTGCCATTATCAGAGTTTTGAAGCCTCCTGATTTGTGTTTTGTAAAGGCATTCTTTGCTTCCAGGAGAGTAGCCTGGGCTTGCCTTCACCAGCATGGACTTGGTTCTTGAAAGGGCATAGTAATGGCAGGGAGGGATGATGAGGACGGAAGAAGGAGCATATTCAGAAAGATGCAGTGTTCTTTCCATTGTTGACATTGCACATAGTCCTACAGTAAGGTGCTTTAACGCATGGGGACGCGGGTGGCGCTGTAGGTTAAACCACAGAGCCTAGGGCTTGCTGATCAGGAGGTTGGCGGTTCGAATCCCCGCGACGGAGTGAGCTCCCGTTGCTCGGTCCCTGCTCCTGCCAACCTAGCAGTTCGAAAGCACGAAGTGCAAGTAGATAAATAGGTACCGCTCAGGCGGGAAAGTAAACGGCGTTTCCGTGCGCTGCTCTGGTTCGCCAGAAGTGGCTTAGTCATGCTGGCCACATGACCCAGAAGCTGTACGCTGGCTCCCTCGGCCAATAAAATGAGATCAGTGCCGCAACCCCAGAGTCGTCCGCGACTGGACCTTAAGGTCAGGGGTCCCTTTACCTTTAGGCAAACTAAGGCCTGGGGGCCAGATCTGGCCCAATCGCCTTATAATTCCGGCCCTCAGACAGTCCGGGAATCAGTGTGTTTTCACATGAGTAGAATGTGTCCTTTTATTTAAAATGTATCTCTGGGTTATTTGTGGGGCATAGGAATTCGTTCATTCCCCCCCCCCCAAAATATAGTCTGGCCCCCCACAAGGTCTGAGGGACAGTGGACTAGCCCCTGCTGAAAAAGTTTGCTGACCCCTGCTTTAAGGCATCCCCAACATCTGTCTGCAAATAATTCTATTATTATTATTATTATTATTACTACAGGCCATCAATATGCTAGAAAATGCTCACGCAGGTATGAGTAGACAAGGGGCAAGTACTTTTCTCTCTGAGCTAATCTTGCAAATAAGTACACAACTTTGTGAGCTTGGAGGAAGAATAAAAGCAGACTCAGAGTTAAATTCCTTGTGGTTAGAGCCAGGGTGATACGTGCTAGATTTTCAGTTAAGCGTACTTTGAGAAATGTTTTGCATGGTTGGTGCTAAACTTGCATTTGTTGCTAAACTTTGCAACAAAGCTCAGGGAGAAAACAAAAGCAAAGTCACCCAGTCCCGTTGGGCTGGTTTAGAGCTGGCTACTGAACAACTTCTACCTATCCTAATTTTATTGCCTAATTGGGTTGGAATGTTTGGCACGAAGGCTCTCTGTTTCGCTGTAGCAGTTAAACAGGGTGGTTGTTCAGCCTCGCAACCTTCAGGTCTGATTCCTTTTCTCAGTGACGCTTGCCTAAAACTCTGATCATCTTAAATTTCATTGCCGCAAAACCTAGGTTCTGCAGCTGGAATAAATTGCACAGGAGTTTCTTCATCAGTTGATGGCTGGTTTGCAGGCAGATCTGAGTCTGTTTCGTATTGCAGATGAAGGTCTTGATAAACTTACTCTTTGCGTACCAAGTACTGTAACTGGCATGTTTACTTCCAGTGTGCCTGTAGTGTAAGTCCACCTTCAGGTATCAGGTAGAGGTGAGTCACTAAAGATAAGCAGGAATCCACATGCCTGGGATTTAGTTTCTGCCTCTTGAAGGCCCCATTCTCTCTGATCCTCGCTATCCTGTCCAGGATGAAAGAAACTATACACAGAGACAGACTTGGGTCTGTCTGCTTGATGGGAAAATCAGACTGATTTAAGAGCTGCAGCAATTAAGTAATATGCAACTGGGGTGGAGAATAGGGATGTCAGGAGCATCCCTGATCATAAGATTTCAGGGCTCAAAGCTGAGACCTAAGGTAATGTCATTGGGGAGGGGGCAGACACTGATGATGTCACAGAGATGATGTCATGGGAATGCCACTAAGCACAACACATCAAGCATTAACCTGAAAGACCTACACTGGCTCCCAGTACATTTCCGAGCACAATTCAAAGTGTTGCTGACCTTTAAAGCCCTAAACGGCTTCGGCCCAGTATACCTGAAGGAGCGTCTCCACCCCCATCGTTCTGCCCGGACACTGAGGTCCAGCGCCGAGGGCCTTCTGGCAGTTCCCTTGCTGCAAGAAGCCAAGTTACAGGGAACCAGGCAGAGGGCCTTCTCGGTGGTGGCACTCGCCCTGTGGAACTGCCTCCCACCAGATGTCAAGGAAATAAACAACTACCAGACTTTTAGAAGACATCTGAGGCAGCCCTGTTTAGGGAAGCTTTTAATGTTTAACAGGCTCTTGTATTTTAATATTTTGTTGGAAGCTGCCTAGCGTGGCTGGGGAAACCCAACCAGATGGGTAGAGTATTATTATTATTATTTTATTATTATTATTATTAAGTGCAATCACTATGACCATTTGCAGAGATGGAGTCACCAAGCTACAGTTTTCAGAGATCCCCTTGAAAAGGGGTTGACTATTAAACTGCTTTAGGAATCGTATCTCTGCGGAGAGAATAGGGGTCTCCTGAAAACATTCAGCGCCCCTTAACAAATGACAGCTCACAGAATTATTTGGCGTTCGCCATGTCTGTTTAAAGTGGCAGTAGCTCTTGGGGCTTCAGGTTTCCCGGCCCTACGAAGAAGCCATTGGGGGATTGAACCCGGAACCTTTTGCATGTGTGGACAGGATCTTCCATAGCCGAAGAAGCTGAGCATGTGCAGAGACCTTGCCAGCTCCTAATAGGACAGAAACTGGGTAGTGCACCATCTTGGAGTGTTGGAATCGGATGGAGTGGGGAGTAGCCTGAATTCCGATCCTCCTTCATCTTGCTAGGTGACCTTGAACTGACTCTTATCCTCACGACGACCCTGCGAGCTGTGCCAGGCAAGCCCCAGGTACATGCCTCTGCTGAGGCCAATGATAATTATAATTTATTACCTATACCCCACCCATCTGACTAGGTTGCCGCAGCCATTCTTTTCTTATTCTTTTTAAACAAAATGTTTATAACAAAAGAAAAGATCATCAGGCCACATAAATGAACATAACCAGGTGTCTGGGGATTGTAAAATTCATCACCCAGCTCTATGAATTAGCAAGAAGCCTTGCACTTTCCTTCATCGGGGTACTGAATACTCGTGGCGCAAAAATGATTTGAAGAGCAGGCAGCTGCTAAGAAGATGCTATTGGCTAAAGCCATCAGCGGACCAAAACAGTCTCTTGGTGATTACCCTAAAGAAAAGCTCTTTGCTGGACTAGGCTCTCAAGCACCTACAGCCTGCTGACAGTCTGTTATTTGACAGCGATTAGGGGGTTCCTGAAGGGACGTGGGTGGCGCTGTGGGTTAAACCACAGAGCCTAGGACTTGCTGATCAGAAGGTCGGCGGTTCGAATCCCCGCGACTGGGTGAGCTCCCGTTGCTCAGTCCCTGCTCCTGCCAACCTAGCAGTTCAAAAGCACAAAGTGCAAGGAGATAAATAGGTACCGCTCTGGCGGGAAGGTAAATGGCGTTTCTGTGCGCTGCTCTGGTTCGCCAGAAGCGGCTTAGTCATGCTGTCCACATGACCCAGAAGCTGTACGCCGGCTCCCTCGGCCAGTAAAGCTAGATGAGCGCCGCAACCCCAGAGGCAGTCACGACTGGACCTAATGGTCAGGGGTCCCTTTATGTTTAAGGTAGTCTCTGTGGAAGTATATTGTATTTAAAAATGTGGTATCAGAGTTTTTAGGGGGCTAACCAGGTTGGGATAGCTGGGATAGTAGGCGTGTTGGTTTTTGAATGTCTGATGTAGATTTTTTCAATTTCGTTGTTCTGTATGGGACACCGACAATAAAGATTATCGTATCGTATCATAATTGATATTCAGAAACATTGCTGCCTCCAACTGTGAAGGCAGAGCCATCGTGGCTATTAGATATGAGAGTCATCTTCAAATATCTCAAGGGCTGTCACATGGAAGAGGGAACCAGCTTGATTTCTTCAGCTCTGGAGGGTAGGACTCAAACCCATGGCTCAAGGAGATTTTGACTAAATATCAGGAAGAACTTTCTGACAGGAAGAGCTGTTGGACAGTGGAATGGTCTCCCTCAAGAGGTTGTTGACTCTCCTTCCTTGAAGGTTTTTTTAGCAGAGGTTGGATGAATATCTGTCAGGGATACTTTAGCTGAGATTCCTGCATTGCAGGGGGTTGGACTAGATGACCCTCGGGATCCCTTCCAACTCTACCATTCTATGATTCCATGGTGAAAAGGTAAAGGACCCATGGGTGGTTAAGTCCACTCAAAGGCGACTATGGGGTTGCGGCATTCATCTCACTTTCAGGCCGAGGGAGCTGGTGTTTGTCCGCAGACAGCTTTCTGGATCATGTGGCCAGCAGGACTAAACTGCTTCTGGCGCAACGGAACACTGTGACGGAAACCAGAGCGTACAGAAACACGGTTTACCTTCAGGGACCCCTGACCATTAGGTCCAGTCGACTCTGGGGTTGCAGCACTCATCTTGCTTTATTGGCCGAGGGAGCCGGCATACAGCTTCCGGGTCTTGTGGCCAGCATGACTAAGCCGCTTCTGGCGAACCAGAGCAGCGCACTGAAGCACTGTTTACCTTCCCGCCACAGTGGTACCTATTTATCTACTTGCACTGGCGTGCTTTCGAACTGCTAGGTTGGCAGGAGCTGGGACCGAGCAATGGGAGCTCACCCCGTCACAGGGATTCTGTGATAGCCCTCTCCTCCATGAATCTATCCTTATCGTTAATGGCAGGGAAGGATAAACTGTAGAGTGAGCATACTTTTAATCAAATCAATCATGGGTGGGGTGAAGTGATGAGTCACCGTTTCGCAGCGTGAGCTGTTGCCACGAACCTCGCAGGACTGTTGTGAGGAGGGCTTCAGCCGGGCAGTGCTTGTCGTGCCAATGCGCCATTGGTGCATTGTAAGTAAACTGTGTAGGGCAAATACACTTTCTTAACATGAATGGGGAGCATTTGATTTGAGTCATGGGCGTGTCGAGGCCTGAGTGAGTCATATTTGCACAGAGCTTTCGCCCAAAGCCACAGACAACGGCTGTGTGTTTTCCCAAAGTGGATGCTATGGCAATTTCCCTGAATATCTCTTTGAAAGGGCGTGTTCGTGCGTGTTTTGTAGGCTTTCTATGAAGTTTGTGGGTCTCTCTCTTTTCTTATTTGGCCAGCTTTCAGGGGAGTGTACCCTCTCAGAAAGACAGCTCTGTTTGTGTTAAGAAGTGGGGGGGAAACCTGAAATATGTTCCTGGGCGGTCTTCGCTTCTTGTTCCAAGATGAGTCAACATCATGTGTATACTCAGAACACAGACGGAAATGAATTGGTAGCAGATCTGGATGGCTCACTGCTAGAAAGCAGGGAGAAATTCCATTCGGTTTGCATTTAAAGGCAAACCTACCTAATTCTCACTTTTCGAAACAACACAAGTGCTGAAAAACTAGAGAACTGAAAAACACCCGTCCTTTGAAACTGGTGCAATTCTGGATTTTGCAATGCCCTTCTGCAGCCCAGTAATGTGCAGGTGCTGCAGTAAAGTCTTTATGAAGATGTACACAGTGAAAAGAAAACACAAACATGCTTTATATTAGGCAAAATGGCAATGGTGGAACTCTCTGTCACAAGAGACAAGGGCCCTGCAGGACTTGACATCTTTCCACAGGGCCTGCAAGACAGAGCTGTTCCACCAGGCCTTTGGTCAGGGCGCAGCCTGACTCCCTCCTTTGGCAATCTTTACAAAACTTTAGTTTATGGTTGCCATCAATTTTGATTTTAATTAATTTTTATAATGTTTTTATAATGTTGCACTATTTTAGTGTTGTTAGCCGCCCTGAGCCCGGCTATTATTATTATTATTATTAAGTAAACATTTAAAGAAGTTTGCACTCCAACGCTGGTGAATTTACATGAGCACTTGAAAGCAACAACTGGATTCTGAGATTTTTCTTTGCCCAAAAATAAGTAAATCCCAGCCTTTATCAAGCTGGTGCTTCTCAGATGTTTGGGACTACAACTTCCATCAGCCAGTGGAATCTATGGCTGCTGCCTTGCACTCACCTGTTCTCTTTTTCTGTTTTGTTTCAGGAAGATGTCTGACGGCTTTTCAGTAAGTATCTGCTCTCCTGATGCAGTAGTGCTTTTGATGCCAATTTTAAAAAGGATTAGTGTTGTTGCTGTGACCTGAGACCCTCACCTGATCTTGGCCTGAGAAAGCGGGGCCCTTTCTGTATCATCAAGAAAGCACCAGCCACGGTTTCAGCTGAGACATTTAATTGCACGTTTAGTCAAAACCCAGTTAAAACTATATATCGGGGTTTTTTTCCATCTATAAGACACCCCATGTATAAGACGGCCCCTATTTTGGGGGCAACAACCGATCACCAGTCCACCCTTGGCATTATCTGTGTATAAGATGCCCATTGATTTTTGACATTACAGTGGTACCTCTAGTTACGGACTCGATCCATTCTGGGGTGCTCTGAAAATTCCACAACTGGGCGTGGCATGATAGAGTGCTTCCGCAACTAGTGCAGCGTGCTTCCGTGCATGCACGCATGGCAAGACCTAGAGCGCATCCTGCAGCATGGTAGGACTTATCTTTCCATCTCTGGGCTACTGGCATGTGCACGCTGTCGTTGCAGAATTAAAAGTCTGCTACTTTGGAATATCTGCACCTATCTTTCCTAATAAAAAAGCCTCTGGGTTTTATTTTTACAAAAGTTAATTTGAATTTCCCCCCCATCTCATTATACAGTGGACGCTTGGGTTGCGAACGTGATCCATGTAGGATGCACGTTCGCAACCCACAGCACTGGGTCTGCGCGTGCGTGGATTGCCATTCGGCGCTTCTGTGCATGCACAAAGTGGTTTGCACTTGCGCATGCGCGACTCGATCCGAGTAACCTATTCCGGTACTTCCGGGATTCGACGGGTCTGTAACACGTAAAAACACAAACTGAAGCGTCTGTAACCCGAGGTATGAGTGTATATCGTTTCCCAGAATGCTTTTATTACCTTACAAGGCCACCGTATATGATTTTTCTTTACATTTCCAGCAAATATTTGGACTTCTTATACATTTTTGCTAACTGTTGCTTTGTTCTCTACACAGTTGTCTGATGCCCTGTCCGGGGGCGCCAACAACCCGAACGCCAACCCAAATGCCCAGCCAAACCCTTGGGGAAATCAGCCCGGCACTTTCCCAGGATATCCCGGAGCGTTCCCCGGCCCATATCCTGGAGCACCCGGCGCATACCCAGGGGCCCCTGGCGCGTATCCTGGAGCACCCGGCGCATATCCAGGGGCCCCCGGTGCATATCCTGGGGCCCCACAAGCAGGTGGCGGATACCCTGGAGGCCCACCCCAGCCAGGCGGATTTCCCAGCGCACCTGGAATGGTTCCACCAGGTGCCTCCGGCATGTATCCTGGCCCCGGACAGCCCCCAAGTGGCGGAGGAGCACAGCCGACCGCACCGCAGGGTGGAGCTGGATTCCCATCTTCCGTTCCGTCCGGAGGAGCACCTTCCGGCCCGTTGGTGAGAAACTTGCTTGTTTGCGTGTGCGTCTAGGCTAGGAAATCTCTCTCTCTGATCTGTCTTATATCAGAAAACGTATACACTGCATTGACGGTAAGCAATAACAGCAAAAGCGGCTTGCAAGATTTAGGGTTCTGTGTCTTTTTAAAAAAGGAAACGTATACCCTTTGTTCACAGAACGAGAAGTTACTCCTGGATGAAGCTGTGAATAGGATCAGTTTGCAATATTCCCTATAGATAGGTTTTTTCTTCTGGACACCAGTTGCCCACTCAAAACTCCATTCCACAGAATGCTGTATTATTTTACTGTTGTTAGCCACTCTGAGCCCGGCTTCAGCTGGGGAGGGCAGGATATAAATAACTATTATTATTATTATTATTATTATTATTATTATTATTACATGAGTTCCTCAGCTTAAGGCAAAGATCTGAGGGTTGGTGGAATTAAATTAAACTAGCCAGAGTCATTACATTATTATTATTAATTTGTACCCCACTTTTATATACTGATTTGTATACCACTTCTATGCCCAAATGTCTTATATATTTCTCTCTGGTCCCATAGAACAGAGAGACACCTGACCAAAATTGCTGTGAAAATAATATTTTTTGATGATTGCACCAAGGTTTATTTTCTCTCTAACTTATTAGTTGTGGCTTTAAACAGTTATTCTATTTTACCTATATTTTGGTGATTTGTTTATATTTTATATATTATGAGCTGCTTTGAGGTTGTCTCCCAGGTCCTAGACCAGTGGTTCCGAAGCTTTTTTTTCCCCTCTGGGCCACACTTTCAGAAGAAAAAATTGCTCACACCCCACCAAATTTCCCCTTGATAAGGAATACATTGGGAGGGAACTATTCCTAGCAGTGCTTGATTCATAACATAGAACACAACTATGATCATGAGATGTCCAGAAAGTACAAAACAATGCAGCTACATAAGAACATGCAACATTCCCAAAATAATTATAATTGAGCCCCTTACATATGTACCTTATGTATACAAACTCAACGGGAGGTGTGCTCTTGCTTTTGCCGGGTAGTCTCACTTACATTAGGTCTAATTTGAGGCAAACAAACTTCCACCTCCACATCAACACAAAGAAGTCTTTCTCTATTCTGATCTTGAAAATCGCTGTTCACAACAATACACTGTGCAGAACTATAGCCAATGGGTTGCTGACGCTCTTGCTCTGAGTTTGGAAAGACAACTATCCGCTATTTCTGCAAATAAATAAAAAAATATTTTGATACTATACACTGAAATGTTCACATGTTCCTGTGATTGTCCTTGAATCTTCCTGCCACACCCTTTGAGACCCACTGCCCTCGACCAAAACCCTGAACATTATACCATCTTTTGCAGAAAGTTCCCTGTGACATCCCACTGCCGGCAGGACTCCAGCCTCGCACTTTATTGACCATTGTCGGGACGGTGAATCCAAGGGCAAGCTGGTAAAGATGGAATATAATAATAATTTATTATTTATACCCCGCCCATCTGGCTGAGTTTCCCCAGCCACTCTGGGCAGCTGGAAAAGGGATTGGGGGTGCGCGGGGGTGTTCCAGTTTTCTGTAGGAGGGGATTGCATGTTTGGGGCCGAATTACGGCTGTGGTGTCTCCCTCTTACTCATGGGTAGGCAAACTAAGGCCCGGGGGCCGGATCCAGCCCAATCACCTTCTCAATCCGGCCCGCGGACGGTCTGGAAATCTGCGTGTTTTTGCATGAGTGGAATGTGTCCTTTTATTTAAAATATATCTCTGGGTTATTTGTGGGGCCTGCCTGGTGTTTTTACATGAATAGAATGTGTCCTTTTATTTAAAATGCATCTCTGGGTTATTTGTGGGGCATAGGAATTCATTCATTTCCTCACAAAACAAATATAGTCTGGCCCCCCCACAAAGTCTGAGGGACTGCAAAACTGTGTTTATTATTATTTGAAAAGCTATCCAGGAACTCTGTGACAGTCAAATTCTCAGCTGAAAAAGAGCTACAAATTGCACACCTATCAGCCAAATTTGCTCTGGCAGCTAAGAAGTTCTGTTCCAGCTCTGTTAATGCTTTCTAATTTTAAATTTTTATGCTGTACATTTTTCATGCTGAAAATGTTTCTAGGTTAGGTTGTGCAATTTCAGAGGAAAGCCTTGCTCTTGCCCTCTGCTGTACATTGTAAAGACCTTTGGCTGTATGCAATAAATTGATTATTCTTTAAGGGGATTTGTTGGACCCTGGGAGAACACTGTGACTCTCATAACAGTGGTCTCAATTCCTGGCTCCCGCTGTGTGATTTATGATCAAATGTTGAGACATTCCTCAGGAGATGGTTACCGCTTGTGTCTCCCTGTTGCAGCATTAAAGTGGATTTGAAGAAGGGCAATGACATCGCCCTCCACTTCAACCCCCGCTTCAATGAAGATGGCAGGAAAGTTATTGTTTGCAACACCATGCTTCATAACACCTGGGGGAAGGAAGACCGGACGGCCCCCAGGTTCCCTTTCGAGGCTGGCAAACCTTTCAAGGTAAAGGGGGCACAGGGAAATGGGGTTCTCTCTCTTAACTGAAGCAGAAGCGAGATGAATGAGTTAAACGTTTGTGCTGTACAGTGGATGCTCAGGTTGCGAACGTGATCCGTGCGGGATGCACGTTCGCAACCTGCAGCGGCGCATCTGTGCACGTGCGGGTTGCGATTAGGTGCTTCTGCGCATGCACAAAGCGCAATTTAGCACTTCTGTGCATGTGTGACCGCCAAAACCTGGAAGTAACCCGTTCCAGTACTTCCGAGTTTCGGCAGTCCATAACCTGAAAAAACGCAACATGAAGCACCTGTAACCCGAGGTATGACTGTATAATGGAAGCACTGGCTAAAATTGATGTTTAAATGATAGGCAGCTTACTTTACCATTAAAATTAATTGCCGCATTTCCACAAAGAGCTGTGCCTAAAGCAGTGAACGACAACTTCCATCAGCCCTACAAAGCATGGCCACGGAAGTTGCAGGTCCCCACACCTGATCTAAATCCACAAAAATTACATCTGCTTCTGGACCACTCTGTTTCATTACACCGTAAGCCTGCCACCGTATTTCTGCATCGCCTCTAGTAAACATCCATCATTCAGTCAGCAACATATGCATTTCAGCAGCAGTCTTGCTTAGTGGTTATAGCAGTAAGAATAGAAGATGACCACAACCTAGATTGGATGGTTTCAGCCTCCCGACCAGATGTTTCTGGCAAGACCACAAGCACCCAGTATTTAACATTTACACTTTTTTTGTTTTAAGTGTTCAGAGAATGCAAGTGTGTGGCCTCTATCAACTCTAGTCTCATTTTCCATTTATTTGCATATTTGATGCATTATTTGTGTATTTGATGATATATAATCAACAAATACTGAGGGTAAGGGGTTTGCAAACTCCTGCCGTGTGAGCTGTGTCATCTTCAAAACTACAGCTTTGACTTCAAATTAGGGGTAGTGAGCTGTACATTTAGTAAAACCACCATTTACCACATCCTGTACCAGAACCAGGATTCCACGACTTGACTGTACAAAATTGCATCAGCAGCTAACCGTGTGATGACTCTTCCGCACAGGAAAACAGCTTTTTTAGGTATAAAAAAAAGGCATTTATAGACTGCTTAATAATCATTTCTAAGAGGGGTACATAAAACAAACCATACAAAGGATAGAACAATTAAAAACCACCATAAAACTAAATACCAGCATGTAATGCCTGCTGGAAGAAGAGTCTTTGCTGTGTGCAGCAAGGAGGTTGCCTACCTAATCCCAAGTGGGAGGGAGTTCCACAGGCTTAGACCTGCAGCAGTGGTTTACGGACTTGATTCAAGAGTAGAGCCACTGAAATTAATGCAAGTTAAGTTAGTCATGGCCATTAATTTCAATGAGTTTACTCTTAGTAAACGTTAGCTGAATATAGCCCTAAGCTTTGATGTGCTAGGAAGTGCTAGGAAGCCACGCTCTGTTCAAAGAATTTGGAACTTAAGTTAATCTCTGCTCACAGCCTCTGCCAATCTGCTTTCCTGGTTCTTTCAATGTTTTGAACGCCTCTCCTTTTCCAGATTCAGATTCTGTGTGAAGCGGATCACCTGAAGATAGCAGTCAACGATGCTCATTTGATGCAGTATAACCACCGCATCAAGGAGCTAAACCAGATCAACAAGCTGTGCCTCAACGGCGACATCACCCTCACCAGTGTCACACCAACAACCATCTAACCCAAGGCTGCAGCAACCCAATACGCCAACTCTGCGTGCATTAAAACAGCAGCTTTCGTTTTTCTAAAAAGATGTCCGGCTGGCTTCACTTTGTAGGGTAAAGTTTAATAAAAATATATATACGCAGGACCAGTCAAGGAGAGGCTGAGTGTCATATGTAAGTCCTCACAAGCAGGTTTCTAGTCCTTATGGGCACCAGAGGGTTAGAAAGGGTGTTGGCAATGGAGGGAGGATGGAGTGGGGATGCAGCTGAGCAGGACTGCTAGGAGTGAGGGTTTCTGATTTTTATTAGTAAAGTTTTAAAAGCTAAAGGTCCATCAGATATTCAAGCAAAGGGGGAAGGGGGTGAGAGAAACATTTCAAAACTTATGAGTATAGGAGTACTGCCACCTTCAGAAGTCCTAAGGTCCAACATTGATGAATAATGATACCAATTCAGTTTGGACTTGTGGGTGACCATACCCAAACGGTTGGGAACCAGCGGACTTGAAGTGGTGCGCACCAAACTTAACATTATCATGCTTATTAAATTTGGGTACAGCCTTTCATCAGTAGAATCCCAGGGGAGTTCATAACAGAATCACCTCGCCCCAACAGCGTTCTGTCTTACCGGCATACCTCAGGCAAAAAACCTCCCAAACAATACTGCTTTTATTTGGACTACAGCAAACTCTGCTGTGTACCCTTTCGTGGACCCCAGGTGTATGTGTAGCAAACTTTGGGAAACTGGCCCAGAGGATGGGCAGGGTTCGTTTTACAGCTGTAGCCTTATTAGACTTTACCGACTGGTGGGGTCTGCGTTGCTCCCGGGAGGGAGAAAGGAAGCCAAATGACACCGAGGTTGATTTAGAGAGTTTATTCTGCTCTCCAGATAGCCGAAGGCACTGCGTGAATCGGTTCACCGCAAGCACAAAAGCAAGAGAAATTTCATGCAGTATACGTATCCTCCAGGCACCCTCTCCTTCTGTCCCCAGGAATCCAGCCACGTCACGGAAGTTGACATACATGACCATAAACAGATGTTCCTGTTCCGGTACTCTTGACCATAAAAGGGTCTTCCTGTTCCTATACTCTTATCTTGGGGCAAGAAGGTCACCAACTATAAGAGCACTCCTGGCGCCGTTCCCGGGTCTCTTGTCAGACCTTACAAAGTTTGTGCGTCATTGTGGTCAGGATGTAAGTTAAGACCCAGATGTGCCATCCCTGCTTTACTTTGGAACTGGCAAGGCCATCCATTGCCGTCACGGACTGATAAAGGAGAGGGCTTGTTTATACAGCTGGGCTTCTGTTTATACATTGGCTCAAGAGCTCGTTAATGAATTTTAGAAATGCTCCCTTGGAGAAGGAAAATGGGGATTTTGGGTCCCGTTTCGGACTGACTGCACAGAAACCCATTCCTTAACTTCCTCTTATAGAACCACAAGAGGCTGTGATCTTCCTCCCTAGAAGTGGAGGTGACAGGCAGAGGAAGGCAGAATCCTGTGAACAGAATGTCCTCCAATCAAATCTGGCAAATCACAGCATAAACTAGGTTAAAAAGCAACAACCCACAGAGCTTTCTTATTCACATGAACTGTGCAGGTCACACATTTTCCTGGCCCAGATTAACCAGAGGCATTTTCTTTTATTCTTTTCCCACCGCTGCATACAGCACAGAATACTCCCCGCCCAGCTTGTTACAATACAGGACAGGTCTGAGCTGAAACAGAAATAGATTTCCCCCAACACAGTTCTGGATCATAGTTGATTTTGGGAGGGAAGAGGGATTATGGATGAGGAAAGATGTTAAAGAACCCACACAGATGATACTGAAAGGCAACTCAGAAGACACAGACCAAACTTTAATAAACATTTAATAGTAGTACTTAATAGCACAAAAAACCACAGTAAATTTCCTTTTACCCACTCCCCCCACCCACCCCGGTTTGTAAATAAAAATCAATCTTATTCTGCCCCTTCTGATTAAGTAAGTGGAGAGAAAACAATGAGGTCGTTGCTTGGGTTGGCCACAAATTTCTCCGCCTGGTTCCTCGGAGTGACGAAAAGGCTTTCATCCAGACTGGGCTGTGGGGAACAAATAAGGAAGGTTATATAATATAATATAGACAGGAAAGCAGTAAATAAATCATGTCCATGGAAATCAGGTGCATGTTGTACACTGCTGAAAAATTCAAACTTTTGGAAGGAGGCGAGAAATCTGCTCTCCTGCTTTAGGAAGAAACTTTATGGCAGCAAAAGCAGTTTGACAGCATAATGGACTCTCTCATAAAGTGATGAGCTCTCCATCATTCAAAGTTTTTAAGCAGAGGCTGGATGGTCACCTGATGCTTTAATTGTGATTCCTACACTGCAAGGGGTTACTCCTTTCGGTCCCTTTCTAACTCTACAATTCTATGACCTGCACTTCCCCTCTTATTTCAAGACAGAATATACATTCATCTGCCTCCTCTCAATAATAAAGGTAAAGGTACCCCTGCCCGTACGGGCCAGTCGTGACCAACTCTGGGGTTGCGCGCCCATCTCGCTTAAGAGGCCGGGGGCCAGCGCTGTCCGGAGACACTTCCAGGTCACGTGGCCAGCGTGACGAAGCTGCTCTGGCGTGCCAGCACCAGCGCAGCACACGGAGACGCCGTTTACCTTCCCGCTATAAAGCGGTACCTATTTATCTACTTGCACTTTGATGCGCTTTCGAACTGCTAGGTGGGCAGGAGCTGGGACCGATCGACAGGAGCTCACCCCGCCGCGGGGATTCGAACCGCCGGCCATAGTCCTAGGCACTGAGGTTTTACCCACAGCGCCACCCGCGTCCCTCTCAATAACAGCCAAGTGATAAAAGACTGACAAGTGCTTTCACAAACAGCATCCAAGCTCTTTTCATTGCTGCATGCCTTACACCCACTTCACACTTGCATGCATGCATGCAATGAACGGCTTCCTTAGCAGAAGTGACTCAGAGGCTTCTTGCTTAATGGCAACTGCCTCCAGGGCTTTCAAAAAAGTGACCTAACCGGTTAGAGCAGCAAACAGCCTAAAAGGGAGATCAAGGATCCTCCCACCGAATTTAGCGATACCATCTGACAGATAGATAGTTATCATAAACGGCAGCGGTAGCGTTACAGTTGCTTGTCATAAGCAGAAGTAGTTCCCGTGTGGATTAGAAGAACGTAATACGCTGAATTGCCTCATTGCCCAGCCTTAAGAGAAGTTAGTTACCCTAACTTTCCCCTAGGCTTTTGATCTGCCAAAGTAATGAAGGTGACAAATAAGGCTGAGTGATATATCATTGTATTGTCCAAAACTGGTTTGAAGTCCAGATTGTGATATCGGTTTCATAACTTTTGACCTGGCAATATATTGTGAATCGTGTGTGCATGCATGCGCTATACAAAAAAATCACAATGTGGGGAAAACTGTGAAGCCAGCTATGGGAGGGGAAGTAAACTGCATTTACTTAACATTCCCCACCCCACCCCCAATTGTTGAATTTAGATTCTAGGCTGCTTTGGGGCAGGGACCTGGCCATTTGTCTTCATGAAGTTGTCAAGTGCTTTTCAAATAAAGAGTCAAGAAGCTGGATAGAATGCCATCCAGAGAAATTTTCACTCTGAGAAAAGGATCCGGTGAGGAGATGTGTTCATGCTCAGTTGCTCTGACGAGCCCACGGCTGCACTTTCCTAATAATCTATGCCCATTTGTTACTGATTTCTAAGGAGTTGGGGGGTTTTTTGGGGGGGTGTGTGAAAGAGAAAGGGCTTCTTGACATAAGCCTGACTTCATTGCACCAGACAGCTGGAGTCCTTTGCAACTCGATGCAGCCTCCTTATGGCACACCATAATCTGCATTATGCATAATCTCCATGTATAAGACTAGGGTTTTTTTACTCTAAAATAATGTTAAAAAATGGGGGTCGTCTTATACATGGGGGTCATCTTCCCCCATTTTCATAAATTTGAGTCCCCCAAACTAAGGGGAGTTATACACAGAAAAATATGGTATATATATTTAACAGGAAACCATGGCATCAGATTTGTCGCAGTAACTGGAGAAATGTTACAGTTGCTAGTCTTTAGAAGTCCACCCAACCCAATTAGCTCCTTTTCAAACAAACATACCTGGAGTTCAAGCACTGCAGCTTCGCTGGAGAAGTCACCGAGAAGAGAACCTGGAAAATAAGGATATATTTCCAGTGGGCTTTTTAACCTAACTTAGGTCTGGTTCAATAATATGTAGGAGAGGGTTTCTAGTGGGCTGTGTCAATAAGGTTTGAGGATACACATCTCGTTACCAAGTACCTATGGTTCATGAATGACAGCAGGGACTCACCGCTGTCCTATCTCAAAACCAGCACAGGCAGTGACTGTTGGGGACATGTCTGATGTGTGCGCAACTGCACATGCGCACACAGTGCTGAACCCAGAGGTGACACGAAAGCGTCACCAAAGGGGGCAAAACACAGTGTTTTGAGGCTTTTTCAACGGGTGTTCTGATTCTATGCAATTTCACGCAAGCGCATAATGACTCGGAATGCAACCCCTGCACAAATGGGGAGTTGCCTGTAACAAACAGGAAATATCTTCATTTCAAGTTATAGCAGTCAAACACAAGGAAGTGTCAGCAGGGTGAGAATATAGGAGCAACGAGACACCCACCCCCAATGCTTAACATGTGAACTTGGAAGTCTGCCACGCTGTTCACAATGAGACTTCCTTTTCCTGAAAAACAAGCCTAGGGTGGCAGCCTAAAGGTTCTGGGCCAGATTTAACAAACCCTGTTAGCCCTTGCAAGGTCTAGAGCGACTGGGGTTCCCCCTCGTCTCCCACGGGCCCCCATATTGGCTCAGTGGGGTTAGGAGAGCCTTCAAACAGCAATTGTTACAGCCCTGGGCTGAATTCCACCTTCCATCTACAGCTTAAAGCAGCTGATCACACAGGCTGTAACCTCCACAGAAGATTATGCCACAATGCATTTGTTAGTCTTTAAAGTGCACCAAAAACACAATGTGGTGAGTGAGATACAAGAAGCTCCTTGAATTCAAATTCTGAACTGTTCACATAATCACAGAATAATACATGGACCTCAGCCAGAGGTTCTTCCCGCTGCCTAAAAAGCCCCATGGAAATCTACCTGTTTGACATTCTGGAGTGGGCAGCTCTTCAGCCTGGGAGCAAGTTCCTTCAGGCTGGGAATCCTCCTTGGGACTCCATGAGAGAACATCCTGTTTGCCCAGATCTGCAATCGTCTGTTTCACCTCTTCTGTAGCTTCTGAAACTTCTATTTTATCAATGGAACCTTCCAGGCCCTGAGAATCGGTAGAAATCAAGTCATCCATATCACACAAGGGTGATCCGCTGTCACAAGTGGCTGTTTGTACATCCTAAGAGTTCAGGAAGGAAGAGAGAGAGATTTCAAGGAGCAAAATGAGATGGGGGCCGTTCTGAACTTTCAGGACAGGCAGACATTCAACACAGACGATACAACTTACAGCAGCTTCTTTCGCCATGTCTTCTGCTGTAGCACCGGGTTCCTCCGCAGCTTGGATGTCACTGGGGGGAGACCACATGTGTTCATCATCAGTCAGAAACTTGCATGTTAGGTTTTTAAAACGTTCATCTTGGGGGAAGGTGTGCATGGGTGTGAATGACAGCTGACAAGGGCGGCCCAAATTCTCCCTCTCAGTTTACGTCCAAGATACTGGACGAACAATTACAAGGGCAAAGTTTACAGCGTGAATTAGCACAGAGAAGCACTTGTCTGAAATGAACAGCTGCTTCTCCCAGGCAAGTATGCCAGCAGCAGGATCCCACCCCCTGCCCCAACTGCATCCTTCCTGCAGCTAGAACAAAATATCACGAGGCTGTGTTCAGCACTGGAAGAGACCGAGGTGACACGGCTGTACCTGTGGCCAACAAAAATTGGGTTGTGCATTTTTGCCGGAGGGAACTGAGATGGGAGAGGAAGGCAGCGAGTTTTTAAGTTGTGCTCTCAGCGAGGGCATTTTCAGCACGAGTTAAAATGAACAGCTTCCAATGACAATTCAACTCCAAGCCATACAACCAATCATCTGGCACAGGGAAAAGAAGGCAGAGGTCTTGAGCAGAGCGCTGTGGTGTAGGAAGAGAGCAGGCGTTGGTTGTGCCCCAAGAGGTGGCAAAAGCAAATGAGGGTTTCAACTTTTGTGTTGCAATCCTCTAGCTCAGTGTGGATCGCACCCAGCAGCTGCAACTAACCTGCTCAACAGCACCAGCCTACATAAACCTTGGGGCTGAATGGAGCCTCTATTCATCAAGACAGAATAACTGTGGTGGGGACAAATAGAAAGCGGACCTGTTTCATGCTTTGTGTGTGAACACCCAAAATAATTTTTGCTGTTTACTATGCAAAACACTGTGTTTTCCTTGTGCAGGGAAGGGGGGCTGTGGCCAGATGAAGCTGGACTACAATTCCCATCATCCCTGACTGTTGATCACACTGGTGGGAGCTGTAGGCCAGCCATATCCGGAGGCCCACAGATTCCTCACCCCGGACAAGATGGACTTTCAGTTCGATCTGGAAATAGCCACTGACGAGGCGATTCATCTGGATCTCACTAACACAGACAGTCATTTCTGCACCAGCCAAAAAGGGCTCACATTCAGGCCAACTGCATACCATTGTTCAGAAATGCAGCAGAGGTCAGTTCTGGCAGGTTCCAACACCGAACTCTGATCCGAAGGAGGAGGAATGGCGTTGGACGCGGTTGGCGTGCCTAGCCTTACAACACAGGTATCTGCACAGCTCTGAAGCAGGGCCCTGTTGGCAGATCTTGGAGTCATCCGCCTGGAAGCCCTGCTTGTAGATTGAGGAGTCCTGCCTGAGCAGTGGAGAGAGGAGGAATAAATCAATGGATATTCTATTAGGATGTCATGCATGTCAATAGAAAATCTGGATTCTTCAGAATTGCCCCGTGTCCTGAAACATATAGAAACTGCTTAAATCTGACATAGGGGATGGCGGAAGATTGGCTCCAGTCTCTCTACCAGTCTCTCTACCTGTGGTGTGCCAGCTGTGTCCACTCAGAAAACTAAGAGATGGCTTCCACCATTCATACCCTGAAAACTTCTCAATAGGATTACTAAAGAATATCCTTTGTATGTAACTGCCCTGGAAAATGAGCTAGAAACTTTTACAGGTACAGAGTGAAATCTTCACTGGCTACAGGGCCCAATTAAAGGAGAGGTCTTAAACCCAAGAACTGAGTCTTCTCACTTTTGGAGTTGTTTCAATAAACCTTTGTGCTGTGTGGTGAGTGTGTATGTCTATGGAGAACAGGAAGCACACACACTGCCTCTTAGCTCACAGTATGTATAACCAAAACATTTGGTCTGGGGTAGGGGCTGGGGAGATAAATTCATGGTTCCCCTACCTACTATTCCTTTTCTAAAGAGAGACCTGCTTCACCATCACCTCCGTGCTCCTCATTCCCAGTAACTGAGTAAGGCACGCTCACCAGAAGCGCACTAGACTTCCAGAGGTGCCCCCTGCAGCAAAAAAGCTTCTCCTTCACACCCAAATTCACTCACAGAAGGAACTGCTCCAACACTGACCTGGGAAAGGCCTGGGTGATTCAATTTTGAAAAACCCTCCATCAAACGTCACTTTCTCTGGGGTTTCTTGACCTGCAGCCTCCACCATCAGCCCTTCTGCTTTCATCTTGTTCTTCACGGCTGCCTTTATCGCTGCAAGGCGCTTTCGGGCTGCTCTCCTTTCAACAGAGCCACCCCCTGCTTTGGTTGCCCTTTGAGGGGCTGCCTTCTTCTGAAAGACAAAAGGCAGGACAGCATTTTCTCCCCACTCTCTCCGACACCTTCTAAGAGCTCAGACAGAAAACTGGCACAGTGCAGGACGCTTCAGCCTTCTGGATGTTGATAAATTACCCGCATCCTTGCCCATGCTTGCTGGGGCTAGTGGGAGATGAATTTAAGCAACACCTGGAGGACCAAAGGTTCCTCATGCCTCCCACAGCAGCCAAGGAAGTGCTAATTCAAATCTCAGTCAAAGGCTGAAACCAGACTGGCATGGATCCAGAAAATCAGGCTCATCCAGGAATGTCTATAGTTGCTCCGCCACAACCCTCTCAATTATCTACCACAGAAAGGAAGCATTTGCGACCAGGCAATAGTTGCTACAATCTGCTGCATCCAGACCTGGCTTTATCAGTAACGGTTGCAGCTTAAGTCCTGCAAACTTATAATGACTGCAAACTTTGGAACTTTAGGGCTAGCCAAATACAGCTGGCTTATTATCCTGTGAGACCAACCTTCACCAACCTGAGGACCTCCAAATGTTTCAGACTACAACTCCCATTAGCCTGTGCCAGCCCAGCTGTGCTGACAGGGGCTGATGGGAGTTGTAGTTCCAAAACAGTTTCAGGGCCTCCAGGTTGACAAAAGTTCCACTGGGATATAGAGCCCTCTAATGGTGAACTATAGAATGACATGGACTCCACTCACTACAGAAACAGCAAAAACGCTGGTTAGATTAACAAAATTATTGGAAGGGACCCCAAGTGTCATCTAGTCCAACCCTCTGCAATGCAGGAATTTCAGCTTAAAATGTGCAGATGGAACCCTGACTTTTTCTTCTAAAGGCACTCTTTGATTTACTTCTCTAGAACACATTTCAAGCAATCAGTGTACTTCTCATTATCTCCGATACCCCTGAAAGGTTGACCAGTTATTACCACCACCGCATACTGAGAGCAGGGGGCTTGCCAAAGGCCATGACCTGGAGCTTGCAAGTCTTACAGATCACTCTTACTTAGCAAGCATCTCTCTCTGGCACCTTCTACTATTTGAACTGCGTGTTTGCACAAATTCAAAGAACCACACAGGGCTCCCCCTCCCGACTCCGGTCAGAGTGCCCAGTCTCCCACCCTGCCCTGTCGGTCAGCAAGAGGATGATGGGTGAGGATGGGGGATGGCATGGACCACTTTTTGGTTGGACAAAACAAAACATGGTCCCCAATGAGCTCACAAACCAAAATACAGCACAAAGGATACATGGGTCAGCGATGTGAGTGCAGTCTGTGATTGTTTTCAGTCGCAGTTGCTGAGGCTACGTGACAGTTACTCTAGAGAGAAAAGGTTGATTTCCTGCCTAGAGGCCTAGTGAAGATCTACTCCAAAAAGTGAGAGAAGTATTTGTGGGGGTTTTTTAGCATCCTCCTGGAGTTGCTTTGGGAAAGTCTGTCTCTTGGTAATCCTGTTAGATTGACAACCCAAGAGCAGAATTACAGAAGCCTCTCCTACCTTGAGGGGTCTCTTGGCCTGGACATCGTCTGCCATTTGCCATCCATTCTCCTGGAGCTTCCTCAAGTTCTCAAATTTTTTCTTTACATCTTCTACCTATATTCAGAAAACCAAAAGCAATGAGAAAGAAACAACAACGGCAGGACTAACCAGCTCAATTAGCCGTATTTATTAAACTGATTAATGGTGCTTGTTACTTAAAAGGTCCCCAAGTGACTTAAATTTAAAGCTTCATTTGGCTGCATTCTTTGAAAAACAAGACAAAGAGCCCTTAATGCTCAAGAAACTTACAGGGTAAAAAGCAAAGGGCTAAACCTGCAGAAATAATGAAACAGCTTCCCAAAGCTGATTTGCACACAATGCAAGTGGGAAGGATAAGTGTCCCGTATTGAACTTGTGGGATGACAATGCGCTCTTGAAGAACCACCTGAATATGAGACAAACTTTAAAAAACAGAGATCTTACTTGGAAGTTCACCATATCCCAGAATCCATCCAGGTCATCACAGGTTGTTTCCTTTTCTCCGCGTCTGAACTCACAGTTATCCACCAACCCTTCAAACTGCTTGAATCTCTCGGCTATCAGCAGCCTGGTTTGCCCAACAGTGGTACGGACAAGATCTTTGGCTGTGGAAATGAATATTTCATTATGTATAATAAAGTGTTTGATGAGACATTTAAGAAGCCTAATTCGTACAAATCTCGCTTGTGTAGCTTGGGAGTGTCAAGGCCAAAGCCACTCGGGCCAACAGACTCGAGCAAACTGTTCCATCCAGAACAGCAATTATGCAACTCCTTCAGCTTCTTCACTTACCATCCTCTGGAATATCCGCCTCAGCTGCTCCATCCCACTGAAGGCAGTGTGATGCCAGTCTCTCTGCCTCGCACCGAAGGAGGTTTCTTTAAAAAAGCACAGAGACAGAATGAGTACAGTCATAAAAGGTAAAGGGACCCCTGACCATTAGGTCCAGTCGTGATCGACTCTGGGGTTGCGTGCTCATCTCGCTTTAATTGGCCGAGGGAGCCGGTGTTTGTCCGCAGACAGCTTCCGGGTCATGTGGCCAGCATGACTAAGCCACTTCTGGCGAACCAGAGCAGCACACAGAAATGCCGTTTACCTTCCCGCCGGAGCGGTACCTATTTATCTACTTGCACTTTGATGTGCTTTCGAACTGCTAGGTTGGCAGGAGCAGGGAATGAGCAACGGGAGCTCACTCCATCGCGGGGATTCGAACCGCCGACCTTCTGATGGGCAAGCCCTAGGCTCTGTGGTTTAACCCACAGCGCCACCCACGTCCCTGAGTACAGTCATACCTCGCGTTAAATGTGCTTCAGGCTGAGCATTTTCAAGTTTCGCTCCGCAGCGACCCGGAAGTAACGGAGCACGTTACTTACGGGTTTCGCTGCTCGCACAGACGCTCAAAATGACGTCACGCGCATGCGGCAAAACTTGACCCACCCTCCAGAACGGATCCCATTTGCACCCAGAGGTACCACTGTACGTGGCAATACTGGAGACAGGGTGGGCTTCACACAAACCTTGCTCCAATTCCCAGCCCTTTAAAGTAATTTGCATTTGCATTCCACCCTTCAGCAGTAGAGCTTTAGGTGGCATCCCTGGGGGTTCCCCGCTTCTTCCTCACAATGTGCCCTGCGTTGGAGGTTTCACCAAAAGAGGGTGACTGCCTTGAAGTCATCCCGGGAGTTGTGTGTCCAGGTAAGGATCTGAGCCCAGTCTTGCCAGGCCCTGGCCCAACCATCCATCCACAACATCACACATGACCTTGGTCTCTCAGCCTAACCAGCCTTACATGGTTGTTGTGAGGATAAAATGGTCCTCAAAAGCTTATTTACCATTTGAGGCCCCGCTAGTATGACTGCGCATTTAATTCCGTTATAGATATTGCTGCATATATTGAGTATTGTACTAATGATGGACAGCATAAAATGGTTTTAAGGAAATAATAATGATACATCTGGGAGAGAGGTTATCTCCTTGGATGATTAGTAAGTTCTCATGCTGTTCTATTAAGTTGCAAAACATTTGTGGAGGGCTTTCCCAATGCCAACTGAGCCAACCCCTCCATTTAAGAGTTCAGATGTGTTTGAGGTGTCAATGGGCTCTGAGCTGAGTGAGAGGGAAAGTGTGCCAGATTAATGGGCTAAAAAGGAGCTTTAGAGACACTGCAGCTCAAAGGGAAGAGAGCAGCTAACTAAAGTGCCTTTTACTGGGTCAAGCATTTAGCTCTGCAGTTACTTTGATGGCAAAGTGAATCTCATGCAAAGCAGAGGGACTACCCATCAAGAGAGTGTTCCATCAGCCAGTGTTCTCTTCAGTCACGCTCCCAAGTGTATCAGTCTGGACCCCTCTGCCCTTTTGTACAAACCTGAAATAGGGCACATTGTGTTGTGGCTCTCCAGCTGGGTCGGATGAATTGCTTGCTGGCAGATCCACTTTCTGTGGATTGATCTGCTTTTCAAAGGGAGTCGCATCCATTGTTTCTTTAGTTACACATTCTGAAAGATGAAGGATATTTTTACAGAGAAAACTGCAGAACACTGTAAAAAGTACAGGGAAAAAATCATGCCGCAATATAACTCTGTCAGTCCACCTGGTTGAACGAATTGCCTGCCTTTTGACGACTTATCAAGTTTAAACTTATACTGTATATCCATAAAACTATAATACAGTGGTACCTCGGGTTAAGAACTTAATTCATTCCAGAAGTCCGTTCTTAACCTGAAATTGTTCTTAACCTGAAGTACCACTTTAGCTAATGGGGCTTCCCGCTGCTGCTGCGCTGCGGCCACACAATTTCTGTTCTTATCCTGGGGCAAAGTTCTTAACCCGAGGTACTATTTCTCGGTTAGCGCATTCTGTAACCTGAAGTGTCTGTAACCTGAATAGGTGCTATTGGAGAACAGAGGAAGTTGCAACAACTTACAATTCAAGACTGTATCACTCTCCAGTCTCAGCCGCAATGATAAATCAACTTGAGCTTCAGTCTACTAAATGGCACAATCTTAAAAGTAGGTTTAGCATTTTAATTGTGTTTTACAAAGTCTGAAGTATTTCAGGTGGACATCACATGAACAGCATGCAATTCCTGTTCCTAAATTTGAGACTTTCATTAGCTGCTTTGAAAGCCTTGTGGGGCTATGAAGCAGGATACATATTTCATATGAACAGATCGAAAGCTTAGGAAAGCCTTACAACAAACCTATAAGGCAGGTTGGCATTGCAGGTGGAGGGGTTGGGAGAAGGGCAACTTGACTAGGACCAGTTATGAGTTCAAAGCGGAATATGGGACTTTTGGCTGAAAGTTAGCAACTGTGCTACAAAAGCGCTCTAGCCCCACCCCACCAGACCCACCTGTGTTAGCATCTGGAAATTCAAGTACAGATGGATGTTCCTGAAGATCTGCCTTTGTCATTCCTGGGCTAGAGACCTTCTGTTTAAGCCCACAGTCCTGTGGCAAAGCTTCCAGACCACCTTCTCCAGGGACTTGGCTAGGAAAAATAATAATTTACTTGGCATTATGTTTTACATGTATGTTTTAATGTATGTTTAATCTTTTGTTAGAAGCCACCTAGAGCGGCTGGGGAAACCCAGCCAGATGGGCAGGGTAAATATATTATAAATTATTAATTATTATTATTAGGCAAGCATCTGAATTGACAGAACATTAAAGCACTCAGGCAGTTTAAGTTCCATTAATGACATAGCACATAAACTCTCCTGCAAGGGAAGGAATGGGGGGGGGATGTTTCTCTTTTATGGCATTTTGACTGGGTCAAGGCAGTGCACTCATTTGCCACAGCTACTTCAAAATAAACAGCAGGCAGCTTTCCACTGATATTTTTAATGAAGTCAGGCTTGCAAATATTCAGATCACTCAGGAAATCTGAACACCGGATCTGAGCCTTCAGAATATTGGCCTGAGTCAAGGTGTCAACTCTAAAGGACTTCCCAGATCTCATGGTTCTATCAAATGATGCACATCAAGAATGGCTAATGTCTTTGGGGACATAGTAAAACCTTCGGGAGCTGGAAGTACCAATTTTTAATTTCTAAAAAGGACAATTTTTGCAGAGGTCAGAGAGATGTTGCAAAAACATTTGGGCAACTCCTTCTCTCATCAGAGGACCCTATGGTAGCCCATTACCTGGTGGTCTCTGCAGGGCTCCAGCAAAGATTGGGCGACAGGAATACATCTGCCTTGGAAGGGGACATTGGCTTGACTTTGTAGGCGGTCAAACCCTCCAGAGGCTTGAACACAAAATTCTGAGGGGCAAATGAGCGCTCTCCCCTTTGTGGTGCAGGAGCCAGGATGATAGGGGCTGGAAGGTTTTCTTTCTCCAGGTTTTCTTTCTTCAACTTTGCGGCTGTAGCCATAGGGATTTGGGAGATCAGAGGCTCCACTGAATGATTCTCTTTCACGCCACACAATACCTGTAACAGGACATAAAGGTTTATTTGTTTTTCTTGAATGATATGGACTTTTCTCAGCCAGTAAGGAGCAGACAACATGTCACCCTAAATGCATTATAAGGGTGACACACACACACACACACACACACACACACACGTTTCCATCATTGTTACACTTCAAGAAATATGCATGCAGATAGGTGAACTAGAAAAGGAGATAACATTGGAAATGTTGGCTGATGGGAAGCGAAGTCCACTGACGTATAGAGAGCCACCCAGTCCCCTTACCCTGCTCAAGATTCTTAATCTTTCCCCCATTACATGTTGATAACAGCAATCTAACAAACAGGGCTGTAGAGATTATTGCTATGAAGATTGCAGTGTGTGAAACACTAGGAAAAGCCAAGACACTTACTGTTGCTTTTGCATTTTTGACCCCTCTCTGCTGCTGCTTGCTGTTACTTGCTTCCCTTTTCTGCGGCGGAAAACCTAAAACAAGAAAAGCTGCAAGGTTCTGAAAAGCTCATCAGAACAAGGAAGGACAAGTCAGAGAAGTTTCTCAAAAGCTTTCTATGGGGACACATCCCAGATATTTGGGAAGGACAGTTGTAGTGAAGAAGCAAAGCATTGTGGGGAGACCAAAAAGGCCAAAGGATTTATGGGGAATGCGTTCTTGTTGCTTTAAGTGGAGACTTGCTGTCTATGGGAGTGAGAATCCTTATCGTGGGCATCTGCAAAAAGAAACTCTCCAAGTGATTAGTGGTATTCTAGCACCTGGTACTTAACAAAGCTGCCTGGGTGTGAATGAGTTATCAACCCTAATCACTCTGAGAATGGGTATCTGGTGAGTCTCTGAAAATAAGGAGGAACCTTTTGATCCAAGTTCCTGACAATTAACAAGCTCAGCTGTCCCAAGTTAAGTAATTAGTCAATAAGCTGACCATTGGTGCATTTAAACATCATCAAGAATTTTGATTGGATCAGAGTTCCGTTTCCACGTGAGTTTTAGAAATAAAGACTCTGAGAAAGTAGCCAGGGGTGTGCTCTGAAATCTGCAATTTCAGAGTCTGTCAGCTTACCACCTTGCTGATAGTTGTCCTGCCTGTGGGTCTTTGTAATGAAGATCTTTTCTGTCTTTGAGATGCAGATTCCATTGAGGACTTTGAAATTATACTAACTTTGTCTTTGTTCTCATTTGTAAGTATGTTAGCTAGCTATACTTTACCATGTTATTGTTTTCTGTTTCAAATGTATAAGAGGATGTGCCTACTTTTTAAAGTATGTTTAAACCTGTTTTTTTTTAAATAAATTTTAAAAAGAGAACTTTCCTTGTCCTGTGTGCCATTCTGGGGGGAAGTCTGAGTCCAGAAGCCTGACCAATCAGTTACGCACTACTTGTTGAATTTCTGCCTGCATTTTTGTGAAAGTAACTTGCAGGGCAGGGCAGCCGGTAACTAGGAAGCATAACCTTCTCCCTTGAGTTACGTTTTCTGGTGCCCTGGTACAAGGGAGTGGTGGCAGCAACTACCCTTTTGATGCGTTTTGTCCTATAAAAAGTATATGCTGCCAGCCGCCGTTTCTCTGAACCTGACCCAGCTGGATGATAAGGACAGGTGAGGGAGGGGCGCGTGGCCGGAGCATTACTACAGCAGTAATATTTGAGAAGGGCTCAGTAGTAGAGCATCTGCTTTGCACGCCGAAAGTCCAAGGTTTAATCCCTGGCATTTCCAGTTAGGGCTGGGATAGAGCCTTGTCTAAAGAAATCTTAGAGCGCTGCTTCCAGTCAGTGTACAGAATATTGAGCTAGATGGACCAATGGCTGACTCAGTACAGTATGAGGCAGCTTCCTATGTTCCTGGAGGAAAAAACCATGTTGAAAGTTCAATTTGGGCCAAGAAGAAAATGAAGAGTTGTCGCTATATGCATTGCTTGACGTTTCACTCCCCAATCCACAGCTATTTACTACCTCACTCACCTGCGCTCACAGCAGGCCGAGATATCTGTGGTATTTTGGTCAGAGCAGCAGCCGTGGCCCTTGTAGCTCTTCTAGCAGCAGTTGTGGAAGTTGAAGGCTGCACCCCTGAAGGTGGGGGAGAGAGAAGATGTGTACTCCTTAAAACATTTCACATTCTGGGTGCAAGACGTCAACAGCACAACCTACTCAGAATCAAGTCCCACCGCGTTTTAGCAGAGGCTGTACGTGGCATTAATTCACAGAAGACCTGATAACTGGACAGGACCTGCCGTGGGAGCCAATAGATTTCTGTGCGTGGCTGTTGGGAGTCACACTCATACGATTAACAAATGCAACCAATTCCAACTGCAGCCACATTGCTTTGCATGTCCAGGAGTTCAATGGAAGACTTGAACTCAGAGCTCCAGGAGCAGTGCTTTCGCACTACGCTATCCAGAAACTCACACATATAGTAGCCCCAAAAGGTCTGGGGCAATCCTGCAGTGTTTGGATGACGATGCATACCTTTCCTCTCTTTGGAGGGTTTGTCTACGTAGATCTGCCTCTGGTTATGCTGAGCTGTTTGCGGAGTGGAGCCCTTGCTAGGTACCATCTATAGAGAGAAATGGAGTCAGGGTTTCATAAATGCATAACTTTGTTACTGTGAGACACACACACACATACAGAGAGAGAGAGAGAGAGAGAGAGAAAGAGAGAGAGAGAGAGAGAGAGAGAGAGAGTGTTTACCATCCATTTACTTCTACAGGGCCTTCCTTTAATTCCCAATAAGACAATTACCTCAGTTATATGAACCTTACATCTATTTTTGCAAATAAGCCCACTTGCAAATATTCTGGCCAAACATATATAGGTAGATTAGGATTTACTTTGCCATTATTAAATTTTTATAAGGGCTCAAATTAACATAAAACATTTGCAAAGCTACAAACTTTTTGAGTTGGCTATGACCCTTAATTTCAAGCTGCAAACACATAACACACAAACCTAACCCCATATGGAAAAATAAATAACAACACCAACAATAAAGACTACCTACCCCTGGTTTATTACCAAGCTGCCATAGTTCTAGCAGCTCATTTTTCTGTTCAAACCACATGTAAAAGAATAAAAATGTAAGACAAACCACTGATTGCGGTGGTCTAGCTGGTGGTCTGATTGATTCTTGCAATTGGTTCTTCACCTTTGACCTTGTTAACCGTGTTTCCTAGGAATACCCAACAGATAGAGTAAGCACACATCACCCCCAGAAACACACATTTCCTACTAAATTTTAAACCAATATACATTTTTTTAAAATAAAAAAAACCTGTATTTGCACCTCCTAACCAGAGTAGCTAACCATATGAAAGAATGGCCAGGCTGTCCAAAATCAGTGACCATAATCAGGTATCCTGACAGACACGAAAAAAGCAACTCTCTCAAATTTATGTGACAGACCACCACCTTCTATGATGTATGCATGATGCTTTTAGGGTGGTCTCTACTGAAGGGGGTTGGACAATTTCAAAAGTCTTTAAAGGTTCCTGCACACTTTATTCTTGGTCTCTCTTACCTCCTTACCAGGAGGGGAGGGAACTTTGTTGGAACAGAAAAATAAAGACTTGCCTTGCTTTCACTGCATCCTGCCTCCATCCATTTGTCTCTGATGGATTATGGACTTAGGGGACTCAGCACCTTGGGGAGTTGGGCAGCAAAAGCCACCCCCCCCCCATTTTTCTATAACATACCTATCGGCATACCTCTGTGACCAGCAAACCAGGGCAAACACCATGCTCAATTTTGTTCTTACAGGGTACATTTATCTACTTTGAGGTGAAGACCTGTGTACACAGTACCGTTTACCCTACATCCAGTGCACTCAAACTGTCCGTTTGGGAAGTGGTATACACACAATGTTAGCTACACTCCAGATCTATCCTGTCATTTCCTTTGAAATTTTGTGCTTTGATGCACTCCCCCTCCCCCCTAAAAAAACCACCAGTTTTCAAACTGAAAGAATGGCCTAGTTGTGCTTAAAGCCAGTAATGTGTGCACAGCCCAAGTCACATTAGAAGGTTGCATGCATATCTTATTTTTTCCCTGATGGAAGTGCTTGAAATGAGAACTTATGTACTTTCCTTATCCTGCTTCAGGGGACAATCTTATTCAAAACAGCCTACCCTGGCAAACCCCTGCTCTGAAGGCCCTTGACTTTAGTAACGGAACACAAGTGACTGTCAGCACCACAATTACACATAACAGACATCAATTATTGGAGTGCCCATTGTGAATCAAGCTGATTCCTTCCTTCCTTAACCACTACCCACCAATCCCTTTTTTTCTGGTCCACATAAGGCATACTACCCCTCCAAAATCAGAACCTATTTCAAACTATAATATTCAACTCTGGTTTGGACAAACTAGGACAACCCAACAACATGGAAAAGAAACACAGGAGAGTTAAGTACACGTACCACACTTGCTGCTTTTGTTACAGTCTCCCTTGGCTTGCTGAGCACCGGTATATTTGATGGTTTTGAAAGGAAGCCAGGTGCCTCTGGTTTGAATTGCCCACATTTAAATACAGGCTTTCTCTGCTCTTTTAACTTCCGTAGTTCTTTCTCAGCTTTGTAACGCTGTAGCATTTCCAAACGCTCCTGTTCGCGAGACTTAGCTGAAGCACTTGATTTCTGGCCTACATGGAAAACAAAAATAACTTTAGATCCCATCAGAATAACTTCAGAGGAATTAACAGTCCAATCACATCTGTGTTTACATCAAAACATCTCGTGGATTTCAGTATGATTTACTTCCAAAAGGGACCTAAATTGGAGACAGCCATATTCATCTACCTATCCACTATTACCCCAAGGTCTCATTCCTGGTCATTCATTGTCATTTCAGTCCAGAGGATCAAATATGCAAAATTAGTATTATCTGCCACTACATGAATCACTTTACACTTGTTTACATTGAATTGCACCTGCCATTTTATTGCCTGTTCGCCCACTTTCAAGAGATCTTTTTGGAGCTCTTCACAATCTTTTTGTTTTAACCACTCTGATAAATAATCTACTATCATCAGCAAATGAGCCTCTCCCACTGTTCACCTCTAACATAACATCTTAACATTTCGGTGCCTTAGGAATTCTGGGGTGGGTGACGTCTGAACTTGGTCATTTATCAGTTTCTGTTTTGTTAATAAGGCCTCTGTAGCACATTAACTTTGTAGGTGTAGGAAATTCTACAATGACAGAGTCTAAAAATCAGTGCTTTGTCAAACACGAGTTGCAAGTCTTTACTTACTTGACTTTGTGCTGCTCCTTAGGAAGTATCCTTCACCTGACTCCTCCAGCAGTGAAGGCTCACCATTTCTTGATGCCTGTGCGTTGACATCAATGAGTCCAAACTGCCTGCCTTTATTAAATTCCTTGTGTCTGCTCTCCTTTTGGGAAATGGACTTTCGGTGGGCAAGTTTTGTCTTCAAGGCCTCCGTACTTAGGTCCTTTCTGTACCGAGCAGCAAAAGTGGAAGCCATCCTGCTGTTTCCTACCTGCGAAGTGAGAAAGATTATAGGCTATGGATGCCCGCCCTTTTGCGGCACCCTACTTCACAACAGTAGTGATGTATGGAAGTGAGAGCTGGACCATGAAGAAGGCTGATCGCCGAAGAATTGATACTTTTGAATTATGGTGCTGGAGGAGACTCTGGAGTCCCATGGACTGCAAGAAGATCAAACCTATCCATTCTGAAGGAAATCAGCCCTGAGTGCTCACTGGAAGGACAGATCCTGAAGCTGAGGCTCCAAGACTTTGGCCACCTCAGGAGAAGAGAAGACTCCCTGGAAAAGACCCTGATGTTGGGAAAGATGGAGAGCACAAGGAGAAGGGGACGACAGAGGACGGGATGGTTGGACAGTGTTCTCGAAGCTACCAGCATGAGTTTGACTAAACTGCGGGAGGCAGTGGAAGACAGGAGTGCCTGGCGTGCTCTGGTCCATGGGGTCACAAAGAGTCGGACACGACTAAACAACAACAACATATTTAGGGTGCCTACATTCTGCATGGACTGGTTGCATGGCAATTACTTTGATAAAATACATATTTTGTTATGTGCAAATGGCTTGAGACACCTATTAGGTCCCTAAGTTACCATATAGCATATATTCAACACAAAAACAGGGACAATTTGTTGTTGACAAAGGACAGCTGGAGATATAAAGGGCCCTATTACCTTCAGTAGCTTAGGGCCCTAATCCAGCCCTGCCCCAGACATCCCATTAACAGTGGGGTTTTTAATTTTTACTAATTTAAAAGCTGATATCATCAAGTAAAGATTCCAAGTAATATCAGGAATAACTTGATGATAGTAGGAGCTGTTTGACTGGAAAAGAGGTGGTGGACTCCCCTTCCTTGGAGGTTTTTAAGCAGAGGTTGGGTGGCCACACTTGCACAACAGACTTCTGCCTATGCAAACAGGACCTCCCATGTGCAGATACACACTTCCCAGGTGTCTCCAAGATCTGCTTGGCAGGCAGAGTTGGAAGACCCTCTGGAGAAGTTTGGGGTGGGATGCTCATGGGGCTGGCAGGGAGAAGACAGGAAAGCAAAGTCTGTCACATCTGCTGCCAGGACAAAGATCTTGCCCTAGAGGTTTTTTGGACTGCCTTCCAGTTCACTTACATTGACAAGCTACTTGCTTTGATGCGAACATAGGTAAATGGTATTGCAACAAAACACTGTTTAAAAGTACTATAGGACCTACCCACATGATGCTGACCCAAACGTACACTAACACTATGCAGTAGAACCAAAGAACATTAGCCCATCTCTCTCCCCTCCCTTTTCCTCCAACTACATGATGTCTCTGACAACAGTGCCTCATACTGAACGAAATGTGAAAAAGACCACAGATTGAAAATGAAGACACAAAGTGTACATGTTTGTTACTTTCCATTACAGATTTTCTTCTGTTACAAAGCAAACTTTAAAAAACGAAACTGAGTCAGACATTCCCCCCCACCCCCGTTAGTACAAGGTACTGCCTGCTTTAGGAAATCAGCCCTGAGTGCTCACTGGAAGGACAGATCCTGAAGCTGAGGCTCCAAGACTTTGGCCACCTCATGAGAAGAGAAGACTCCCTGGAAAAGACCCTGATGCTGGGAAAGATGGAGGGCACAAGGAGAAGGGGACGACAGAGGACGAGATGGTTGGACAGTGTTCTCGAAGCTACCAGCATGAGTTTGACCAAACTGCGGGAGGCAGTGGAAGACAGGAGTGCCTGGCGTGTTCTGGTCCATGGGGTCACGAAGAGTCAGACATGACTAAACAACAATAACAACAACAACTGCCTGCTTTGCCTGCAATAGGAGTCTTGTATAGCTCAATATACAAGAAGAGCCTAGTCCAGCATCCAGTTCTCACAGGGGACAATGAGGTGCCCCAATGGGGAACCCTTAAGCAGGATTTGAGTGCAACAGCACCTTTCCCCACTTGCAATTCCTTGTAAATCGACCAGACAGAGAAAACTACAATATCCCTGCATGCAGAGGAAGTGGCTACTAGAGGATGTGCAATCAGGAAGAATGTAATGCTATGAAACAGCGTCCTGATGCAGGGGTCAGCAAACCTTTTCAGCAGGGGGCCAGTCCACTGTCCCTCAGACCTTGTGGGGGGCCAGACTATAGTTTGAAAAAAAGATGAACGAATTTCTATGCTCCACAAATAACCCAGAGGTGCATTTTAAATAAAAGGACACCTTCTACTCATGGAAAAACATGGATTCCTGAATCGTCCGCGGGCCGGATATACAAGGCGACTGGGCCAGATCTGGCCCCTAGTTTGCCTACCCATGTCCTGAGATATTTGGATGGGGGTGGTTTGCAAATTTAACACATAGTAGTAAGTTCCCTATGTATGGAAGTGAGAGCTGGACCATAAAGAAGGCTGATCGCCGAAAAATTGATACTTTTGAATGATGGTGCTGGAGGAGACTCTTGAGAGTCCCATGGACTGCAAGAAGATCCAACCTATCCATTCTGAAGGAAATCAGCCCTGAGTGCTCACTGGAAGGACGGATCCTGAAGCTGAGGCTCCAAGACTTTGGCCACCTCATGAGAAGAGAAGACTCCCTGGAAAAGACCCTGATGTTGGGAAAGATGGAGGGCACAAGGAGAAGGGGATGATAGAGGACGAGATGGCTGGACAGTGTTCTCAAAGCTACCAGCATGAGTTTGACCAAACTGCGGGAGGCAGTGGAAGACAGGAGTACCTGGCGTGCTCTGGTCCAGGGGGTCACGAAGAGTCGGACATGACTAAACGACAACAACAACTAGTAAGTTCCCTGCTGCAGGATCAGGCCAAAGGGGTCCAGCATCCAGATCTCCGAGTGGCCGACCAGGTACCCCAGATGGGAATCCCACTTGTGGTTCCCACCCAGAAACATTTGCTGCCTCCCAGCTGTGGAGGCAGAGCCGAGCAAATAGGTCTACTCCGAGAAGGACTGGCATCGCAGGCCACCTAATATCCCGGAATTATTCAGAGGAGGAGAGCATTATTCGTTGGAGAGCAGCCACGATAGCAGCCTCCGCGAATCTTCCCAACCCTCATTGTGAAAGGCGGCTATCTTGTGGCAGGGAGTTCCGCAGGAGGAGGACTAACGTTCGGCCGAAGCTTCCCCACTCATAAGACGACGAACGAACCGCCGAGGGACCGGTCCTCCACCCCCTCAGTCCCTTCTTTCACCCGCCCCCCCCCCCAATTTATGGGGCCTTCTCCTTCCCCACGGCCGCCCGCTCAACTCACCAAACGCGGCCTCCCCGCTCCAGCGTCGACCCCCAAACCGCCTCTCGGCTCTCCTCAGATTCAAATATTATGTTCCCCGCCGCTGATTGGTCGTCGGCGTCGGAATGCAGGCCGCCCATTGGCTGCTTTGCTCACCAATTGGAGGCTCGCTTGCTCAAGCGCGCTTTGGTGGGGGGTGGAAACAACAACGTCGGCCCCGCCTTCTTCTTTCGGGCCGCTTCTCTCTTTTCCACGCCCTCCGCCGCACTCCAGGGCCACTGATTGGCCCGAAGTGGAGAATTCCGTCACTCGCTCTTTCATTGGCTGGCTTCTTCCTTTCAGAGAGCCGCTGGCATAGAGGTAGGTAGAATGCAGAGTCGCACGCATATTAGGAACTGGCGGGACTCGATGCTCGTCCTGGAAACTCCAGGAATTCGATGTTGTTTTTTAAAACGTAGCTTCTACTGCAACCGGCAAGCAAGCAACCGAATTTCTGTTGTGTTTCCCCCCCCTAAATCAGGTCTTATTTATTTAATGTGAAAAGAGACAAACATTGATTCTATTTTTTAAAGAATTTTAAATCGTAGAATAATAGAACTGGAAGACGTACCAAGGATCATCTAGTCCAACCCTGTGCATTAAGGATTCTTATTGCATGGATTCATGCAGGAATCATACATGACAAATGGCCACCCAACCTCTGCTTAAAAACCACCTCTTTTCCAGTCCACCACCTCTTTTCCAGACAAACAGCTATTAGTTATTCCTGATATTACTTGGAATCTTTACTTGATGATATCAGCTTTTAAATTAATCAGTAAAAATTAAAAACCCCACTGTAAATGGGATGTCTGGGGCAGGGCCGGATTTAGGCCCTAAGCTCCTGAAGGTAATGGGGCCCTTTATATCTCCAGCTGTCCTTTGTCAACAACAAATTGTCGCTGTCTTTTGTGTTGACTATATGCTATATGGTATTTGATGGACCTAATAGGTATCTCAAGCCATTTGCCCATGTTGCCATGCGACCAGTCCATGCAGAATGTAGGCACCCTATACAGTCATACCTCAGGTTACAGCCACTTCAGGTTGCTTTTTTTTTTTTTGGGTTGCGGACTGTCAAAACCCGGAAGTACCGGAACGGGTTATTTCTGGGTTTCGGCAGTCGCGCATGCACAGAAGTGTTAAATCGCACTTTGTGCATGCGCAGAAATGCCGAATCGCAACATGCGTCTGCGCAGAAACGGATTGCAAATGCTGCGGGTTGCGAAAGTGCATCCCGCACGTATATTGCGTTCGCAACCCGAGCGTTCACTGTATATAGAAAGGAGCAAACCAGTGATATTTGAGGGAGCAGGCTAGCAGGCGGGGAGCATGACTTCCATCATAGGAGCCTACACAACACAAAACACTCTTGCTGTATGTAGGTTTTATTTTATTGGTTTTTTATCTTATATTTTGGAAATGTACATCCGGTTTTGTTTTCCTTTAAATTTTTTGGGGCCCCCCAAGAGAGTGGGGCCCTGAGCTATAGCTCGTTTAGCTTATAAGTAAATCCGGCACTGGCCTGGGGTGTTAGTGGAAGGCTGGTGCCTTTGGTGGGGGGCACATCATGTTCCTGCTGGGACAGTTTGTGCACCTTTGATCCCCTGCACCCCGAACTCAGCTCTCCTCTAGAAGCTGTCCGCATGAAATAGCACCTGCACTTCATTTGGGCCTCCCTATTGCAGCCCCTTCCCTGAGACTGCACCCAACCCAACAAAATATGTCTAGGATATATTGCTTTTAAAAAGTTGCTGCTTTCACTGGAGGACTATTCTGTGTTTGTTACTGTTGGAGAGAAATATTCCAAGGGAACCCGGAAGATGTGCAGTGCGCACACATATCACTTTATTATGTCTATGTTCAACAAGAAGAGGAAGTGGGCGGAGCTCAGGGACCGGAAAAGGAACTTCCGCTGCCCTTTCCCCACGTTGTTGATTCTGCTGCTGGTTTCCCCAGGACTTTTGCAGAGCCTGATTTTTGCTGTTTGTGAAGCCGCTACAGGTCAGTTGGTGGTTGGGGTGTTTCTTTGGGGGGCAAATATTTATTTCCTCTGGCTTTCCTGTCTCCTTTGGTTCTAATTGTTAGATCCAGCCCCACTTTTTTTAAAAAAATAATTTTTATTGAGTTTTCCACTTAAATCATATTCACATTTTGTTACATAATTCTATGACTTAATATATTACTCTGTAAGAGCACCGACCTCCTTCCCTCCCTCTTTCTGACTTCCACATAACTTTCCATATTCTTCGTATTTCTTTAAGCACTTATTTACCCTTTGTCAAATTATAATACTTCACCTTATTGTCGGTAAATCGGTTCCTTATATTTACATTACAAAGCATTTCAATTCAAGCCTACAAACGTTTTCAAATGTTTACAATTTTCTTTCATGTAAAATATAAATTTGTTCCAGCCCGTTTGAAACAGTTCGTCACGCTGATTCCGAGATCCAGCCCCGACTTTTGCATTGAAGAAATGCATGTAGTTTCGTTGGAAGGCAGTCAGCCTGTGGAACTCGCTGCCACAAGGCATAGTGACAATTGTGAAGTCGGATGGCTTTGAAAGGGGATTGGGCAAATACGTGGAGGAGGGGGCTGTCGATGGTTGCAAGGCACGAGGGCTATATATTAGTTACAGGGAATCGCACGTGGGGATAATGTTGACCTACCCCGTTTCTGCTTGTATACATCCCACGGGCCTTTGTCCAGCCAATGTAAGACTAGGAAGCTGGACTCGAGGCACCTTTGCTTGATCCAGCTGGGCTCTTCTTCCTTGATCACTTACCAAAGAGCTGTCTGTACTTTTCAATGAAATCAAGATACTTCGCTGAGGCTGGTTAATAATAATAATAATTTGTACCCCGCCCATCTGGCTGGGTTTCCCCAGCCACTCTGGGCGGCTTCCAACAGAGATTAAAAATACATTAAAACATCAGTCATGAAAAACTTCCCTAAACAGGACCGCCTTCAGATGTCTTCTAAAGTCAGATAGTTGTTTATCTCTTTGACATCTGGTGGGAGGGCGTTCCACAGGGCGGGCGCCACTACCGAGAAGGCCCTCTGCCTGGTTCCCTGTAACTTCGCTTCTCACAGTGAGGGAACCACCAGAAGACCCTCAGAGCTGGACCCCAGTGTCCAGGCTGAATGATGGGGGTGGAGACGCTTCTTCAGGTATAATGGTTATAATATTCGTAGTGGTAATAGCCCATGAAAACTTTTTATGCTCTTCCTTTGTGCGTCAGGTATAGAGATAGGGATATATAGCAAGAGCTAAAGAGACACAGTAAACAGTTTAAAAAATACATATTTTTGTTGCATCATATGGTATTATTATAAAAGCCAGGTTTATGCCAGGGCGGGGTGTATGACCTCAGTTAATACTGTCAATACTTTCTGTGCAGTCGATTTCCAGCAGATGTTTGTGTCCCCTTACCTAATCCTTCTAAGTAGAGATGGCAGCGATTGCAGCTGGGGTGTTTTCCATGGGCCCAGCCATTACACTCCCATAAACTGACATAATAATAATGATAATAATAATTTTATTATTCTTACCCCGCCCATGTGGGTTGCCTCAGCCACTCTGGGCGGCTGCCAACACTCATAAAAACATAATAAAACATTCAACATTTAAAAACATCCCTGAAAAGGGCTGCCTTCAGATGTCTTCTGAATGTTGTATAGTTACTTATCTCCTTGTCATCTGATGGAAGGGTGTTCCACAATGTGAATACCTTGGCAGAAAGTATGCCGTATATCCATTTAACTATTCTATCCTGCCAATTAGCTACATAGGATTATCTTCTCGTCCATTTCCCCCTGTTGCTAGTGGTGTTGTCAAATATTTGGCAGGGCACAATGTATGGTTTTGCGAGGTCTGCATTTTCCTTCTTAGGTCACAAGTTGTCTGGACCACATATTCTGCAAAGTCACTGGCTGAACTGCTTACTCGGGGGTGTCGTCTTCTATTTGTCCCCGTGTCAGTTTCAGTTTATTGGTTAATTTTTCTAGTAGGGCTGTTTCCCATACTATTTGGTACCATTGGTCCATGCTTACTCCTGACAAGTCAGAGAGAAGCTTAGCTAAACACGTTATAATCAATTATAAACCAGTTAGGTTCCGGGCCCAATTCAAAGTGCTGGTTTAGACCTACAAAACCTTACGCGGCTCAGGACCACAATACCTCTTTTCAAATGTATCTCCCCAAACCCTGGGATCATCTTCTGAGGCCCTTCTTCGTGTACCTCCTCCACGAGAGGTCCGGAGGTTAACAACACGAGAACGGGCCATTTCTTCACTGGCTGCCCTTTTAAAATGGGATCGGATGGTAGTTATTGGGTTTTGCTTTTATTTTTATTATGTGTCTTGTGTTTTTATATTGTGATTACAGGTTGTAACCCCCGCCCTCCCCCCCGAGACCTGTGGGTAAAGGGCAATATACAATTTAATAAATAATCAGCATCACGAATATCCTTAAACGCTTAGGAAGCATCGCAAGTTTTCTACACACAATGCAGATACTAAAAATGTAAGATAGTTCTGAAGAGGTGTGGTTCAGTGGTAGAGAATCTGTCTTGCATGCAGAGCATCCTAGGTTCAATCTCTGACAGCAGCAGACTCCTGCTTGGATAGCGACTCCCGGTACAGGCAGTCATACCATTGGTCCATTTATCAGAGTACTAAGCATAAGGCAATGCAATCCTATAAGCAAAAAGAGACCACGGAGAAGGCAAGAAGGGAGAAGAGAAGAAGCTGGCTGAATGCAGGGTTAATGTCAGCGGATATACCCCAAGACTGCAGTCTTCGTTTCAGTTAATAATAATAATAATTTTTATTTATACCCCGCCCTCCCCAGCCAAGGCCGGGCTCAGGGCGGCTAACAAGCAATAATAAAAACAAGTTGAATGAATACAACTTAAAAACAAGATTAAAATACAACATTAAAATATTGAAACGTTAAAATATTAAAATGCAGCCTCATCACAGGAGGAGAAAGGAAAAAGAAAGAGGGTGAGGGAATCAAATTGGCTCCAAGCCAAAGGCCAGGTGGAACAACTCTGTCTTACAGGCCCTGCGGAAAGAAATCAGATCCTGCAGGGCCCTGGTCTCATGAGGCAGAGCATTCCACCAGGCCGGAGCCAGTGTTGAAAAGGCCCTGGCTCTGGTTGAGGCTAATCTGACTTCCTTAGGGCCCGGGACCTCTAGGGTGTTGTTATATATGGACCTTAAGGTCCTCCGTGGGGCATACCAGGAGAGGCGCTCCCATAGGTACGAGGGTCCTAGGCCGTGAAGGGCTTTAAAGGTCAAAACCAGCACCTTGAATCTGACCCTGTACTCCACCGGGAGCCAATGCAGCTGGTAAAGCACTGGGTGAATATGCTCCCATGGCAGAGACCCCGTGAGGAGCCTCGCTGCAGCATTCTGCACCCGCTGGAGTTTCTGGGACAGCTTCAAGGGCAGCCCCGCGTAGAGCGAATTACAGTAGTCAAGATATACGAGAGAGAGAGACATTGCACACACTTTTGTAAATCAAGAAAATCTTTAATTAAAAATAAAATGAAGCTAAGCTTCTCTCTCTGGCCATTTGCGTCTAGGAGGGAAGATGGTGCGCAAGTTGAAGTTCCACGAGCAGAAGCTCCTCAAGAAGCTGGACCTGGTGAACTGGGAGGCTGCCTCCGGGAACCTTGCCGAGCTGCGAGTGCTCCGCCGCTTCCGCTTGCAGCGCAGAGAGGACTACACCCGCTACAACCAGCTGAGCCGCGCGGTTCGGGAGCTGGCCCGCCGCATCCGGGACCTTGGTGAAGCGCCGGAGTCGGCGGCTTTCCGGGCCCGGAGCACTGCCGCTCTCCTAGAGAAGCTGTATGCCATGGGGTTGGTGGCCTCCAAAAGCTCCCTGGAGCTGTGCGACCGCGTCTCGGCCTCCTCCTTCTGCCGCCGCCGCCTGCCTTGCCTGCTCCTGAAGCTCCGTATGGCCCAGAACTTGAAATCGGCCGTCACCTTTGTGGAGCAGGGGCATGTGAGGGTTGGGCCCGAGGTCGTGACGGACCCAGCCTTCTTGGTGACTCGGGCGATGGAGGACTTCATCACCTGGACCGACTCCTCTCGCATCCGCCAGCATGTTCTCAACTACAATCAGGAACGGGATGATTTTGATTTGGCTTGCTAATTATCATTTTTTAAAAAGTGGGGGCACCTTTTCCCAATTTGTTAACCTGACTTATTTATTAAATTTGTACACTGCCCTTCATCCGAAGATCACAGGGCGGTTCACAACATAATAATGCCAAATTTATACAGAATAAAACAAAAACATCTATCTCTTGTGCGATCCTTGTGGACCACAGGGGTAGGTAGGCCTGGGATGCTTAGCCCAGATAATCTCCAAGGGCCCCAATATTTTCCCCACTTGGCAGTTAATGTCCTGATTAATGTGGATAGTCTTGATATTTTGGAGGGTAACTGTTTACCGCTTCTTGCAATAGTGACTCTGCTGTCTGGTTTCTGTGTGTAGATCCTAACGATGCCTGTATCTTATATTCATTTTTTAAAAAAATACCATTTTTGTCCAACATTAATCTAAGTAAGATAAAAACATGACATAAACAAAAAAAAGAAAGAAAGAGAGGTAAGAAAAAAGAGATGGAAAAGAGTTTCAAGAGGAAATAGAAAACATAGTGTTCAGAGATTAAAGAACTTTCAATTCTTCATCTGTCTGCTATATATAAACAATGTGGCTGGGGAAGCCCAGCCAGATGGGCGGGGTATAAATAATAAATTATTCTTATTAATCACTTCATACATGCCAATGTAACACCTAACAAAACCACTTTCTATAAACAAACATTATCTTCCATCCCCAAATCCAAATGTCATTATTTCATTTTCTTTTATCTTATATTCCGATGGCAAAGGTTGAACTGCAATGGCACCTTCTCTTTACTTTAGGAAAAAACCAAAATGACAGGCTTCGGGCTTGGATAACACACAGGGAGAGAGACAGTCTCCAGCAGAGGGAGGTGGTGGACTAAAAGTTGTCGGCGCATGCTTGGAAATGCAAATGGACTGGCTGGCAAAACAACACTCCATACAAATTCTCTATATCAAACATTCTCTGTGCCATAGACATCTTACAGGAGCACACCAGAAGTTAAATAACGGATTATATTTGACTGCTCCCTAGCAAACAACCCCAAATCTTGATCCATCTTTAATTAAAAAGCCAACAACCAGTATCATTCACTTCTGATCGTGGACTGGATGGCTGCCCACAAGTAATCCACACAGCTATTCTTTTCAAGAATCTCCCCCCTCCCCTGGCACCTCAACAAAATAATTTCCTCTCTGTCTCTATGGTAACACGTTCCTTGATAGTACAGCAGAAGTCATTCTGCTGCTGAATGTCTTGGCTGGTACCTCAGTCTTTGAATCAATGCTTAGTGTTTTTTGCATTTCTCTCTCACTGCTCTGCTGTGCTGGCCCCAGTTGCGAGCAAGAAACCTTTCCCTCCCTCAATATTTCTCACTTTGACAGTAGCTTTGCCACCATAATGCGTTTTGAGATGACTCAGTTGGGGGGAGCGAGATTAGCGTTCTGTGTGTTTCACTGTCACTCAATATGTTTAGAACTTTTATCGTCTTTTTGTAAAATTGATATTGGCTTTTGCCAAGTTTAAAACAGAACCATGCACCTATCAATTGCTTCTGAAAACAACAACAACAATAATGATTTTATTTATACCCCGCCCTTCCCGGTTCGGAAAACCGGGCTCAGGGTGGCTAACAACAAATTTAAAACACTTAATTGATGCAACAAAAAACAGCATAAAATACAGTATAAAACGTGAATAACAATAAATTCTGAATTCAAAAAACAATTTAGGGGGGAAATCCATCCAATAAACATTAGATGATCAACAGGGCTAGCTGACTAAATTAGTCCTATTTGGGCAAGCGAGGACAACGGGAGAATTAGCTGTGGGATCCCAGAGCGGGTAATCTTCATAAAAAGGGAAGGGGGAGGGAAGGAAGGGGAATAAAAGATCAGGCTAAGTTCAAATTGAAAGCCAGGTGGAATAGCTCTGTCTTACAGGCCCTGTGGAAGGAAGTTAAATCCTGCAGGGCCCTGGTCTCATGGGACAGCATTCCACCAAGTCGGAGCCATCACTGAGAAGGCCCTGGCCCTACATAACAACGTGTAGCCACAGAATATGATTCTTTGGCTACCCATTATTTCCTTACTGCATTTACATGCCACCACTCCTCCAGGGAGCTCAAGGTGGTGTATTTGGTACTCCTTTTCCCCATTTTATCCTCGCTGCAACCCTGCAAGGTAAGTTAGGCTGAGAGTGGGTGACTGAACCAAGGTCACTTGGGGAGCTACGTGGCCGAGTGGGGAATCAAACCCTGGTCTCCCAGGGCCTAGTTGGATGCTAACAACTACGCCATACCAGGGAAGGCAATTTATGATCCATTCCGTGGCGTTCTAAAACGCTTGTTAAGTTAACTTTCAATGGGTTTTGAGCATGTTTGAATGCTTAGATTGAAATTCTGTATACAATTTAGGGTTGAATCCAGTGCGGAATACACCCCTTGAAGTTAATATACATGGCTAACCTAAATTTCGGGACGCGGGTGGCGATGTGGGTTAAACCACATAGCCTAGGATCAGAAGGTCGGTGGTTCGAATCCCCGCGACGGGGTGAGCTGTTGCTCAGTCCCTGCTCCTGCCAACCTAGCAGTTCAAAAGCATGTCAAAGTGCAAGTAGATAAATAGGTACCGCTCCGGTGGGAAGGTAAACGGCGTTTCCGTGCGCTGCTCTGGTTCACCAGAAGCGGCTTAGTCATGCTGGCTACATGACCCAGAAGCTGTACGCCGGCTCCCCATCAGCCTCTGCCACTATGGCCAGTGATCAGAGCTGATAAGAGCTGTAGTTCCGAAACATCTGGAGGGCCACAGCCTCTGCATTCCTGTCAAAATGAATTCCAAAGGGTTAAGTCAGCTGTAAATGAAAAACAAACAAATGTGGCACTTGTAGACAAAGAGATCTGTGTGACACAGGCATTGTTGATACTTCATCAGAATAATGAAGCAAGCTGTAATTTGTGACAGTAGGAACAGTCAAACTCCAATTCCCATCAGCCCCAGTTGGCATCGCCGATGGTCAGGGAGTTGGTAGTCCCCCAAAGCACTGTGCGGGCACAAAGTTGCCTCGCCTTGATTTATAGCCTAATGAGCATGTCATTTTAGACCCTGCTGTGTCCCCAAGAAAATGGTCAGAATGTTTGTCCTTTCCTAGCCTGAAACATTTGCATCTGCAACCAACTTCACCCAACATGCACCCAAATCGCAGCTCATACTTTTACGGGCAAGAGGCTGTGTTGTCTTTAATGACTGCCTACGAGACAGAAGCGGGACGCGGGTGGTGCTATGGATTAAACCACAGAGCCTAGGACTTGCCGATCAGAAGGTCGGCGGTTCGAATCCCCGCAACGGGGTGAGCTCCTGTTGCTCGGTCCCTGCTCCTGCCAACCTAGCAGTTCAAAAGCACGTCAAAGTGCAAGTAGATAAATAGGTCCCGCTCCGGCGGGAAGGTAAACAGCATTTCTGTGCGCTGCTCTGGTTCGCCAGAAGCGGCTTAGTCATGCTGGCCACATGACCTGGAAGCTGTATGCCAGCTCCCTCGGCCAATAAAGAGATGAGCGCCACAACCCCAGAGTCGGCCACAACTGGACCTAATGGTCAGGGGTCCCTTTACCTTTACCTTACGAGACAGAAACCAGCGGGTACAATGTTTTCCTGGCCTGCAGATACACAGAGGAAGAAAACGGCACCTACTGATACCTGCCTGTCGTGGAGCTCTGCAAAAGGTGCACCTGTTCACTGCGCAGGTGCCCGGCAAGTTGCTACTGCCTTTTTGCAATCTCTTCCCAAGGCTTTGTGTTCACTGCGTAATTGGCACTCTGAATCTGCGGCTGCGCATAGCTGTAACCGGTGCATAATTAAGGTGGCTTTCTCTGACACGACGCAGCAGCAGCAGCCGCCCACGTGAGGCTAGCCCTTTCTGCAACGCTGCCTGGCAACTGAGAGCTCCTTCTGCTAGTCATTTGCTATCGCGTTCCCACTGCAGAGGCTTATGCCAGCATTCCCGGTTCTTTGGTGGCCAAAGTACAAGTGGGATGGTACGTGTGAACCTTCCTCGGTCCAGCTTTCTCCAACTCCATTATCTGATCACCTTTCACCTGTGTAAGCCTTTGCATATCAGTAATGGACTGTGTCAGGCAGAAGGTCTTTGGCAATCACTTCTAGCCAAGCAAGATTGTCTTCCATGAACACGGTCTTAACAGTGAGTCCATAAGTGACTGTAGAGGCCCGTTCTGGATCCACACGTCCTTCCACAGTGGGGACATAGGTTTCCGGGCGGGAGTTGATCACGGTGAGGTTTTGCCGAAGTGCCTTCCTCTTAGCACGTTTCTCCCCTGTGGCCTGAGTTCAAATGTCTTCAAAGTCCATGTTACAGGTAGGTAGCCGTGTTGCTCTGTCGTAGTCAAACTAAAAAAATTCCTTCCAGTAGCACCTTAGAGACCAACTATGCTTGTTATTGGTATGAGCTTTCGTGTGCATGCACACTTCTTCAGATACTTCTTCAGGTATCATACCAATAACAAACTTACTTGGTCTCTAAGGTGCTACTGGAAGGAATTTTATTTTGTTTCAAAGTCTATGACACTTTTGGTAAAGGCTGTTCTCCAACTGGAGCTCTTGCAGGCCAGTGTTTACCAGCTGTTGGTGTTTATACTTGGTTTTTTTAAAATATTTGCCTTGAGAGAGACTTATAAATGTCACCTCCAACTCCTCAAAAGATTCCATCAATGGTGTCTCCCAAAAATTTTATACACATCACTTGGGAAGACAGGCAAACTAATGCCAGTGTACTGGAAGAAGCAAAGGTCACCAGTGTCAAAGCAATGATTCTTCAACATCAACTTCGTTGGGCTGGTCATATTGTGCAGATGCCTGATTATCGTCTTCCAATGCAACTACAGTGGTGGCCCGCAAGACAAATGCCTCGCAAGACGAAAAACTCGCTAGACGAAAGGGTTTTGCGTTTTTTGAGTCGTTCCGCAAGACGAATTTCCCTATGGGCTTGCTTCGCAAGACGAAACGTCTTGCGAGTTCTTGCGAGTTTCTTTCCTTTTTCTTAAAGCCGCTAAGCCGTTAATAGCCGCTAAGCCGTTAATAGCCGCTAATAGCCATGCTTTGCAAGACGAAAAAACCGCAAGACAAAGAGACTCGCGGAACGGATTAATTTCGTCTTGCGAGGCACCACTGCACTCTATTCCGAACATAAGAATGGAAAGTGTAATGCTGGCGGTCAACAAAAGAGGCACCCCCCACGCTACGCCACTGGGTCCAGTCGTGACCGACTGGGGTTGCGGTGCTCATCTCGCTTTATTGGCTGAGGGAGCCGGTGTACAGCTTCCGCGTCATGTGGCCAGCATGACTAAGCCACTTCTGGCGAACCAGCATGACTAAGCCGCTTTTAGCGAACCAGAGTAGCGCACGGAAACGCCGTTTACCTTCCCACCAGAGCAGTACCTATTTATCCACTTGCACTGGCATTCTTTCGAACTGCTAGGTTGGCAGGAGCAGGGACTGAGCAACAGGAGCTCACCCTGTCACGGGGATTCGAACCGCCGACCTTCTGATCGGCAAGTCCTAGGCTCTGTGGTTTAACCCACAGCGCCACCCGCGTCGCTACTCATACACCTTTGGGAGCCAGGTAAAAACATTTCTTTTCAACCAGGCCTTGGGCTGATTAATATTCAGTGGCCTGTTAAATTTGTTAGGGGAAGGGTTATTTT